GTTCTGCTCCCTTCATATCCTGTGAACTGGTAGACTTGATGGGACTCAGGGTCTATTTATTTTTTCTTTCTTTCTTTTTTGGCAGGATTACTTCATGGGTAGTGGTGTATTCTTTTATCAGGAGGCATATGTCTGGGTGTCTCTCATATTTTGATATTAGCAGCTATCAGTGCTCAATGTCTAGATCCAGTAATTCATTAGGAGGGGGAAATGGTGTTAAGTTAAAACCATTCTTACTCATTTATTAGCTGAAATTTTTCTATAAGGAGAAGTTTCTCTTCATTTTCTATTTGGTTACCCAGTGGTATAATTCATATAAGAAAGAAAGGATAGATGCTTGATTTCTTCCCTTTATTCACCGGTTTTCAAAATTGAGTGGTTTCCTATTATCCTCTAGAGGTGACCACTTAGGTTTTCATAGTGTTATAAACTCTTGGATTTATCCACTTTGTGTGTTTTGATCCATTGTGGTTATTATCTGTATTGACTGAAATTGGCTCATCTTTGGTCAGTGGGAACATCTTCCAAGTTGGCTCCTTACACGTATTTGACATAACTCTAGCGGTTTTTGATAGCTTCCTTGACGTCTGGAAATGACGAGATGTTCCAAGTTTATCTTGTACATTTCCGGCTCCAGACCGGGAATCAGTCATTTCCTCTAGGAACCTGGTTCTGTTTAACAGGAAATGTATTTCAAGAATACATTTTCTATACTAGGGATGCTCATTACTACTGGGTTGTTTATTATTTCTATGCTTTTTGTGTGTGAAGGGCAAGGGGTGTGTGTGTGTGTGTATGTGCTTCTGTGAAAGATAAAATATCCTCTGAATTAAAAAAAATACTTGCAAGTACAATTCTGTCTCTCCTATCATCTGCATCCTTTTCCATATTTGAATCCTGATTTTTAAGGCTAGAAGGGATGACAGTTAAAATATTATATAATTATTCACTTGCATTTTCCACATCTCTGCCTACAATAGCCTCAGTTAACAAAACCAACTATCACCACAGTATGATTACTGAAAAGTTGCTTTTTTTTGCATGCTTTCCCATTTTTTACTATGTTGTACTGTGTCTGTATTGTCAGAACATATACCCATCACATATTCTATCCTCTCCTTTGTAACCCTCGTTGAGACTCAGTTCTACAAATAAATATTACTTACTGCTCACTGTCAGTTCTTATAGTGACATTTCTCTAGTGATTCTGGGTATCTGAAATGTGTTCTCTAGTAGATTCTTATCCGTTTTTCCACTTCCATGTTGATAACACTTTGAAGTCTTTAGACTTGAAGTTTAACTGAGCATAGAACCTTTGGTTCATGTTTTCTTTCCTTGGGTCTTAAATATGTTACCTTTTTTTTTCTGGCATAAAGTGGTGCTGTCAAAGTGATGACAATATGATTTTATATTCCTTACAAAATATCCTTTTTGTAGTGTGCATATACAAAGAATATTTTCTTTTACTATTAAGTTCAGTAATTTTACTAGACTAGGCTCTTTCTTAGTGTTGGTTGATTAGTGTGTGATGTGATCTTTCACTTTGTAGTTTCACGTTTTGTTTTTAAGTGCAGGGACGTCTTTTTGAATTAAAGCATTTTTAGTGTTCTGTTCCCATGCTTTGATTTCCTTTGTTATATGTTTACTGGTTTTTCTTTTCCCATGCTTTAAAGTTGTGATTTTTCTCTTGAAACTTTAAAAATCTTTTCCATGCTTTTCAATTTTTTAAAAAATTTACTGTTATTATTTAATTATTATTTTTGAATGGATGTAGTGGGGATTGAACTCAGGACACTGTATGCTGAGCATGCCCTCTGCCACTGAGCTATACCCACCTCCCTCACCCTTTTTAATTTTTAAAGTTTCTTCCTTTTCACTTTCTATTTCTCTTAAGTTATTATTTTTAAATTTCATTCAGTATGGTGATCCTTCTCGTTTAGTCTTCATTTCTGAAATTATTTTGACTTTTATTTTTAATTATTTTCTATCACTTGCTTTCTGAGTTTTTCTAATTCTCATGTATTTTAGTCTTTTTATATAAGATTTTGGGGGGCTTGATTTGAAATATTGGTTTATAGTTCTCAACTTTTTGAGAGTATGTTTTTCTTATGTGTTTTTCTGAAGGGGTGTTTTCTTTTTTCTCTTTTTTCAATATCAACTTGTGTAGGACTAGGTCCTGATTTTTTTCTGTTGCTGAGTTTTATGTGCAGTTAGTTTAGTTCAGTTTTGTTTTTTAATGTGCAGTTAGTTCTAAATGGTATGTCATTCTCTAGAGCCTCCTTTTCTTTTTTTTTTTTCTTCTTTTTTTGGATGTGGTGTTCGAAAATATGGAGGCTAACTCCTAAATCCACTTTTATTTGAAGCTGCTCTTTCATTTCTACGTGTTATCCTTGTGATACTGAATTTGGATTTTGTTCCCAGCAGTTTCTCCTCACACAAGGCTTTGATCTAGAGGAGAACTTCTGCTGGTTAGTTTTGAGAATTGTGGAGTCCAGCCTGCGAGAGCCACTCCAGCCCTCACCACAGACCCGCACTCCCCCACGGTGGGAGTGTGCACAGCCCTTCCCAGTTTCAGCCACTGTTCTCACATTGTCTCTGTGTGTCTGAGAAGTACCTGTGGGTAACTTGGGGGTTCTCAGATTCATCAGAGGCGCCATACTCTCCTCTGCTTCTGTCTTTACAGCTGCTGGTACCACGTAGATCTTGGTGCTGTCTGTGGTGTCTTCACCCACTCGAATTTTGGACTTTGTGAAGATAGGGCCTGCTGTCACCTAGTTTTGTCATAGGTGTTGTCTGTGGACTTTGAGTTACACTCTTTAATGTCCTGTCTGGTTTTATGGGAAAACTTAGGGAGATTCAGCTGTGCTGCTGCCCCCGCCGTCTCAGTAGCAGAGAACCTTTGGAAGCAGTGGTCTGTACAGGTGTTGAGTAGCCTGACTGCGATGACAGCCATTCTGTGGGCTGTTGTTAGGAAAGAAATAAAGTCTTTTCAGTCTTTATTAATTATTACAGTTAGGCTGTAGGAATAAGACTAATAATAAGAGCTAACCACTTAATTTAGAGGGAAAACTTTTTATTGACCACAATTTATATTGAGTAGAAGCTGAGCCATAATACTTTGTTTAAAATATAATATTTTTGTCTCTTTTGGAAAGGAAGTCCAGAAAAACACAAAAGATAGTGTAGTTCCTATTTTGAGTTACAGAGAGATAAAACAGGTTTTTTTTTTAACTCATTTTAAACTGTCTTGACTACTATAAGGAAATCATCAAATGGGAGATTGCTCTGGTGACTTGATACAGTTGGATAAAATTTAGAAGGTATTCACTTTAGTATTTGGAAGTACTGTGTGTCTTATTTCACTCAATTTAGTACTGTAGCTGTAAAAGTCACCTTTTTTGGTGTTCTGAGTCTGGGCTGTCATTGTTTATACTGAACTTCCATTCAGGAAAATTCTACAATGATTACAAACACATTAAGGTTGAAGGATTTTGATGTGAAGAAGTAACAGGCACATTCATTTATTTTGAAGATTTTTTGTTAACTTAGAGAAGATTTAGACAATGAAGGTGTATCAGTATTCTGTAGAAAAAAGTTAAATAAAATATCCCCAATAAATTAATAAAGAGCATTTGCATAAATGGAGTTTGTGTATGTGGATTGGTAGTAGGTGGGTAGTTGCTAAAAAAAATTTCCAATCGAATGTAGCGTGTACGTATTTAGACTATCTAGGCTCAAAACCAAACTACTTACTTTGTACATTGTCAGGTATCTTTGATCTGAATAGCCATTTCAGGTGTTGCAGACCACCTGACGTCTCTTATCACTCTTTATTCTTTACTGTATCTCTAATACAGTTTTAGGGAACTACAGGATCCTAAAAACTATTTGTTTTAAATCTTTTTCAATTAATAGGTGTAGAACTGAGAGTTTGAAATCACATACCACACACAGACTTACCAAGTTCCTTCACTCAATGAAAGTTACATCTGAGGGCCCTTAAAGCCCAGAGAGAAGTGACTTGATCAGGTTCACCCAAAACTGGCATCATACCTAGACTGGAATCTAGATCTTTTCATTGTTGTCCAGTGTTCTTTTCACAGTAAAACACTACTTTCCCTGAATATTACACTAAACTTGTCTGTTAGTGATAAAAGTGAGTGGAGACTGACCTCCAGAAGGATAGTTGATGAGAAGCGTAGACATGCTGGAGGTCCCCAGCTTTGCCTTTTTGGTGAACCCAAATGACTAAACAGCCGCAGTTTCTCCTTGTCACTCTATTGAAAGGTCTGCTCCTTTGTTATGGTGACTTTCTTGGTTGTGGGGCATGTTGGGGAGGCTTTGGAGCCAGGGTGCAGAAATCTCAGTGCAGATTTCTGTTGATCTACCACTTATTAGGTATCTAACCTTGGACACTTTGTTTAACTTTGCTGAACCTTAATTTCCTTATATGTAGAATGGGGATGATAATGTGATTTTTCACAGCGTTGTGAGAGTGGATGGGGGCCCATGTGTGTCATCTGCTATCATGCCATAAATGCTTTCCCTTTCCCCTCATGTTAAGTGTCCTTTGTTTTCAGTTCCTATACTGTGTTCTTATCACCTCAGTATTAACCTTTATAAATTTCTCATTGTGTTACTATAAAGTATGCATTCTAAATGGATGCACTTTTCTCCCTCAACTTCATAGAGCAATTCTTTTTTTTGTTGTTGTTAAATAGCATTTTTAGTCATAGATTATATTATACCACTGGAACTTTAAATATTTTCTTCAGAGTAATTGCATAGATCATTTATGTATTGCTTCCTCTCCTAAGTTAAGAGATAATCAAGTAAGATTGAGCACTTATAAATCAGAATAAACAGATGTCCTTTGCTTAAGTTTTGGGAGTAAGAGAAATTTGAACAGCATCTTTGTTGCACAGGAGCTTTCCTTAGTGAAAATGTTTTCAACACTTCTAGGATTATGATTTTGAATGTTGCTTTATTTTATGTTATAGTGAAAATGCCTCGTGTAAAAGCAGCTCAAGCTGGAAGACAGGGCCCTGCAAAGAGACATCTTGCAGAACATTTTGCAGCTGGGGAGATAATCACTGACATGGCAAAAAAGGAATGGAAACTGGGATCACCCATTGGCCAAGGTGGTTTTGGCTGTATATATCTTGGTAAGTGTACGACCACTTCCAGTTGTCAATCCAAAGATTTATATGCTTTGTTATCACAATAGTTTCTTAATTGTGAACTTTTATAGGATCAGTTCCTAATAGTCTACAGTCAACATAATATTGTATGGTTAGGCAAAAAGGCATAGAATGGAGAGGATGGCTATTTTTTAATTTTTTTAATCATGTTAGAAACAGAGGATAAAATATCTGTAATATTGTCATTAGTGAGCATATGACTAGATCTTTTCAGATTATATAATCTTCTTTGAGACCCAAAGAAGCCATACCTTTCTTTCCCCACCTCCACCCAATTAGGATGTATTCCCTTTATTTCGGTTTAATTTGGAGATTTTCAGATCTTTAATAAGTATGGATTTTTTTTTCTCTCTGTACAACCCTAATAGTCATTATAGCGGAATTTAGGATAATGACCTAGAAATGGCATGTTAGGCCTGAAATGTGCTATTTAATTAGCATATTTACTCTGAAATTTTGGGGGACCCATTGTAGAACCCTGAGCTTCTGTAGGCTAACTAATTTGTTTTTTGTTTTTGTTTTTATTTTTTTAACTGAAGTGCAGTCAGTTATAACGCATCAGTTTTTGGTGTACAGCCTAATGTTTCAGTCACACATATACACGTATATATTCGTTTTCATGTTCTTTTTCATTATAGGTTACTACAAGGTATTGAATATAGTTTCCTATGCTATACAGAGGAAATGTTTTTAATCTATTTTATATATAGTAGTTAATATTTGCAAATCCCGAACTCCCAGTTTAAAATATGGAACGCTTCACGAATTTGCTTGTCATCCTTGCGCAAGGGCCATGTTAATCTCTGTATTGTTCCAGTTTTAGTATATGTGCTGCCAAAGCGAGCACTAATTTGTTGATTTAAAAAATATTTTCCCTGATTGCTTCTAAAGGTGTCTGCTTCACTAAGAATATTAGTAGTGATGCAATGCATTTCATGGTTGCTTTTGATATTACTCTCAGCTATTCCACGGTATATTCTTACTCCACTTCGGATTTTGATTTAATTATTTAATTTCTGCCATGAGGCTTATAAAATCATTTTTAGCAGTGAACCCTTTTTTTCTTTCAAGCAATGTCTTACTCAGAATACTAATATTAATGCTAGTTGAGCGTCGCTGTTAGAACTGTGCGTCCTCAGGTCCCACCCCAGACCTGCGAATCAGCAGCTGTAGGGAGAGGGCCCAGCAGTGTGACTGGACAAGCCCTCCGGGGGCGTCAGGTGCATGTGAGAGTCTGAGAGCCACTGACACAGATACAAGCGGGTGCACCTACTCAGGAGGGGTCCGACTCAGCTTCCAGGACCAGTAGTTGGTTAGCCAGTCTCTGGAGGTGTGTTCAAGAAACAGTTTAAAGACCAGCACTTCACGATATTTTATAAATGTAATCTCTAGTTCAGTGGCACCTGTCTTTGGGGAAATAGGTATTAATTCTTTAGTTTTGTTCAGAACCATACCCATTCCAGTGAACTAGGCTGAGTTAAGCTGAAAATCCTCATAGGTCATGAATGATTAGTTAGTAGCCGTATCAGCCAGGTATGTGTTTTTGACCTTATGATTTAGAGATGGCAGATTATATAAGCTGTCTCTCCTGCAGAACGTGTGGGCCTAAGACATCCCATGTTAGGAATGGGAACTTGTCTTAAAACAAGTAAATTCTTCATTTTATACTAGTTAGTTTGCTTTTGTAACCTTTGGCAAATCTGCAACTTGCTTAGCCTGTGTGCTAGCTGTTTTATCTGTATTTGTATTTATCATCAGAAAGTTTCATCTAATAGTAAGTATTTTTAAAATCCAATGGTTTGACAGATTTCTGTAATAAAACTTTGCTTTTTTAAAACTGGATTTATCAGTCTGGGAAGGGGTTTGCTTTAACATTGCCGCCTCCTCTTTATCTCTCTGTGCCCATTGATACTGAAACAGCTGTATTCATGATCATCAGCAGTTTCTGCTAATGATAATTTTCTGCTAAAAAGGTTGCTTTTGAATTTTGTTTAAATATTTTCTGCAGCATTTGATACTGTTTATCTTTCCTTCCTGTAAAAATTGCTTCCGTTGTCCTCCATGATAGCACGCCTTCACCTCCCGTTTTCCTCCCCTCTCCGGATGTGCTAATTCCTCTTCTAGGTACTTCTGTGCTGTCCAGCTTTCCTTCCTCGGCTCCCCTTTCCTTCTGTGGCCTCTGTGTGCTCTCGTCGTCTCTCAGCTCCTGTTATTACCCCTGGGCTGTTGATCTCCGTATCTTCTATCTGCAGCCTAGTGATCCCTGAGCCCAAGCCTATAGCCAGTGGCCTTCAAGGGATCCCTGGATGACCCACAGGCGTGTCTGAAATTTATGTCACCATCTTTCATCTCCTGACTCTGTCATGATCAGGAGAGGATTGTCTGAATGAATGACACCCCTCAAGCCAGACTCTGGGAAGGCATTCTCAAGTGGTGCTTCCCTGATATTCCCAGTTCTTCATCTGGTCTTCATTGCTTTAACTGTGTGACTTCTCAGATCCATTCGTTTCTCTCTGTCTCTGCTGATACTCCCTTAGTGCAGGGGGTTTTCCGTCTTGTCTGGATCCTCACTATAGCAGTGAATTTTCTCTGCTCAGTCTTGCCCCCTGCATCCTGTTACTCCCATTGTGGCTTGAGTGATCTAGTCTATTTAAACTTCTTTAAGGCTCCCCAGTGCCCTGAGGATAAAGTGCCAAATTTTTGACATTAGCATACAGAGACCCTTCATGTCGACTGGTCCCTGTGTAACTTTTATCTTCATCCCTTTTATTTTCTCAAAATCTGTTCTTTGACTATCATACTGCCCTTTGCCTCTCGATCTTTGTATGTGGTGCTTCTTTTGCTTCATTTTTACAAAGCTGAGCTTAGGGCAGGTACTCTCTGTTTATAACACCCCTGTGTTAACCCTTTCGTAGTGCTTTCTTGCCGCTTTGAAGCTACTTTTCTTTCTTCCAGAATAAACGTGTGCTTCTTGGCAATGAGACAATGGTTCCTTATTGTTTTCCTGGTACCTGGCCTATTTTACAGTATACGTTGTTTGAATGAATTATTGAACTTCCCTTTTCCCCCTTTCCTCATTTGAATCATGCAGTATTATTGGGATGCTATCTTCACTTTAATATTTTGTACAGTAAATACTTACTTAAAAATAACTTAACCTTGCTTTATTATTAATTCAGTATCTAAGTGGTGTGCTCCTTAAGGAGCTCAGACTTACTCATTTGCGCACTTATCCTTTTTTATGACGTGGTGTTCCTTCTATAGTCTGAAGTTGCAGCCGGTTCAAAATACTGCTGCTTCCCAGCTGATTGGTGGTTCCTTGGTTTCCTTTGCCTGCCCCTCTTCGTCTCTTCAGCGTCTAATGCGAGAATGCCTTCGGGCTCAGTCCTAGGGTTTCTTCTTTTCTCCGTCTGCACTCTCTCCCTGGGGCACTTCAGTTTCATGGCTTTAAGTGAATAGTGTTTCTCTGTTGATGACTCAGATTTATTTCTCTACCTTGGACCACTCTTCTGAATTCAAGACTTGTATATTAGCTGCCTGAGATGTTTAGTAAGCATCTCAAACTTAAGGCCCCCAGCACACCAGCTCCTCCTGCGGTTTTCTCCATCTTAGTAACTAGCAACTTTCTCTTTCCTGTTGCTCAGACCCAAAGCTTGGAGTTATCCTTATCTCTTCCCCCCCGTTTCTCCTCTGTGTCTAATTCATCAATAAATCTTGTTAGCTCTTTGAAGATTCATTCAGCAGGGTTAGCTCAGTGGTAGGGTGCATGCTTACCATGAACTAGGTCCTGGGTTCAGTCCCTGGTATCACCACTTTAAATAAATAAATGAGTAAATAAATGAGTAAATAAATAAATCTAACTACCTTCCCCCTCAGAACACACACACACACACACACCCACACACCCACACACACACACACACAAAATACATTCATCGGCTGACCACTTACCACGACCTTGTCTGCTACGACTCTGGTTCCAGCCACCGCCGTTTCTCACCCGGAGCGTTGTGACAGCCTGCCTGCCCTCCCTGCCTCTGCCCTTGCCCTCCGCACCCCGTCCTCCATGAAGCAGCTGGAGAGCTCTTCAGAAAATCGGAGTCTGAGCAGACAGTTCCTCTTCTCGAAAGCTTCTAGTGGCTCGCCACCTCACTCACAGCGATAGCTCTGTGTTACCTGTCAAGCTTATTGCACGTGTTCCATCTGCCCCCCGTTACCTGCCACCTCACGTCTTCCTCTCCAGCTACATCAGGGCCTTTGCCTGGAATGTTCTTCCCCCAGATGTTCACATGGCTTCCTCCCTCGCCGTCTGCAGACCGCTGCTCCGACGACACACTGTCAGCAAGGTTTCTCTTTTGTACTGACTTGCAATACTCTCTGCCTTCCTTTCCTGCTGAATTGTTCCTCGGTAGCACTTCCCACCACCAAACATACTTTCTGTTTTAGTTGTTGTCTCTCCTACCACTGAAATGTTGGTTTCATAAGGGTAGAGATTGGTTTTTCCTGTTCACTGCTAAATTGGCTTCCTAGAAACTGGCATATAGTAGGTACATGGTAAAAATATTTGTTTACTGAATCTGAACACCCTTATAGTCCTCACTCAGCATTTCAAGGCAGCTGTGCTTATTTTTATGAAACAAAATGACAGCCACATTAAAATTACTCTGGGTGGTGGTTTAAAGTTCTAATGTCAGTATCTGAACTGTTGAGCTAGATGAATTTTTCCCCCAAACGAGTGCTTTTTAGAGCTTTTGCTCCCTCTTTTCTTACCTTCCTGATGCTCCTTCTTAAAAGGATTCCCTAGTTTGTTAAATTTAAGAAATTACATCAGTTATGATCCTCTTGGGAATTCACAACATACATTAGCATATCAAAGGCCATGAGTACTTTTGAATTAAAGAAATCTTTAACTCAGTTTTCCATACTTAATTGATGATCATATTGAAGATAGCAGCAATTGTAAGATGCATTTCAATTTCAGACGTGTTAAATTGTGGGGGGAAAAAGTTCTTAAAATTGATGAAATGTACAGTAATGATATCCTGAAACACATATTTGGGAACTGAAATTAATTCTATCAAGAGGTTATAGATATACAGACCTAAATGTTAATAAAGGGTTAGTAACACACTATTTATAATAATGCTACTTCTTGTTCTGATATTACATATGTCACTTTTTCTAACAGCTGATATGAATTCTTCAAAATCGGTGGGCAGCGATGCACCCTGTGTTGTAAAAGTGGTAAGAAAATGTTTCAAATGATTTTTTCTGTTTAGTGTAGTATTTATTTTATAAAACATTCTTTTTGATAACTAGAATTAATTAAACCATTAAGTACTATATTTTAAGTAATGCTTCATAAATATTAAATGAGACACAAAAGTAGCTTTTATAGTTTTAAATAATTGGGTTCAAAAGTTCTCCCCTCTTTTGAGTTAGAGGGGCACTGGTATTTGTGGAAAATGAATGAAAGCCTGGAGATTTGCAGATGTGGAGTAAAAATACTCAGCTCCTTTTAAAAATTTCAGCTATATTTGCAATAGATGAGAGGCTTTTTATATTTGTATCCTACAAAGCTATACTGCTTCAATGAAATTTTATTGTATTTTATCTTGCATTTGCTTCTGAATTTGCACTTGGTCAGTTTTTTCTTTTTATTTCCAATTGTCTTTCCTTCCCCTCTCATTTTAGTAAATGAAATTATTTGTCATCACTTGGAAACTTCTTTTTGGTATTCTGACATTGAAATTAGTTTGTAATGAGTGAAGGTGGACAACAGCTTGTCTGACATAGACATTCTTTGAATAGCCAGGTCAGTTTAGATATTGGTGCACTAAAAGGTATTTTAACTACTATTTTTTGTTATCAAGATAGTATGCATCTTTTTTGCTTACGCATGTTTGTAACTCTGCTCTCTCAGTTCTTTGGCACCTGTGAAGAGCACGTTTTTGTTAAATAGAAGAGTAACGGGGTCTGTTATTTGGGCAAGTTACCACGTGAGTCCCACACCCTGCCTTTTTTCCCTAAAGGCTACAGAATTCTAGAATTAGAATTACCCCAAGGTTTTTTGTTTTGTTTTGTTTTATTTTACTCTCTTTTCAAAAAGGAATATATTTGATCCCTTATGAGTTAATGGCTCTTTTGGACCTGAATTATTTTAGTGATTGTTTTCATCATGTTTTTATTCAGGTCATAGTTTTCACAAGAAAATATACAGATATTAAATAAACAATTGAACACTTTTGACAAGTGCACATATGTGTGTAAGCCTAACCCTATTAAATTATAGAGCATTTCCATCACCCCGAAAATATTCCTTATGTCCTTTTCTGGTCAAACCCCTATTTCTTACACCCTTGGAGGAAACCACTTGTCTGATTGTTTTTTTTTTCACTGTAGGTTAGTTACTCCTGTTCCAGAATGTCCTGTAAATGGTATTTATACAGTATGTGCTGTTTTGTCTCTGACTTCGTATGCTCAGCATAGCGTTTAAAGGCTCATCCGTACTGTTGGCGTCTCAGTTGCTTGATCAGACTCACTGCTTAGCAGCACTACATCGTGCAGCCACATTAGAGTTCGTTTTCCATTTCCTGTTGATGGACATTTGGATTGTTTCCAGTTTTTGGCTATTATGAATAAAGCGTCTATAAACGCTCTTATACATGTATTTTTGTTTTTCCTGGATCAATACCTAGAAGTGCAATTGCTGTTTTATAGGGAAGATGTATATATAAATTTATAAAAAAGTACCACACAGATTTCCAAAGTGGTTTCACCATCTTATGCGCTCGCTAGTGTGTATGAGAGTTCTGGTTGCTCCACGTCCTCTTCAACACCTGGAGTTGTCGCGTGTATGTGTTTTCTTGGCTGTGATAGCAGAAATATAGCCGTGTCTCATAGTTTTAGTTTATATTTACTTGATGACAATTTTGAGCACTTTTTCATTGTGCTTATAGGCCATTCATAAGTTTTCCTGTGTGGAGTGCCGCCTCAGTCTTTTGTGGTCCTCCCCCTCCCACTTTTTAAAATAGCTAGGTTGTTTCGCTTTTTATAATTGGTAGTAAGAGAGTTGTTCTGGAGACAAGTCCTTAGATATATGTGTTGTAAATATTTTCTCCCAGTTTATAGTTTGCCTGTTTATTTTCTGAATACCTTTCCTGCATCTGTTGAGATAGATCATAGGATTTTCCTCCTTTATTCTGTTAATGTGGCAGTTATATTGATCGGTATTTGAGCATTGAACTAACGTATTTTTAACATACACTCCAGTTATGGTGCATTATGCTTTTTACGTAATGCTGGAATTGATTTGCTAATATTTTGTTAAGAATTTTTACATCTTCGTTCATGAGGCATATTGATCTTTGTTTTTTCCCTAATATTTCTAAAATTAAAACGTTTCTCATCTTGTTTCATTTTGGTGTCAGGTCTCCCCTTCTGGCCCCACAGTATCCTAACTAAATGTCTTTTTCCTCCTGATGCCTCTGTGAAGAAAGCTGGGGCTGTCATGGGTCAGGTCACTTGTTTGCTTTCTGTCTTTTAGAAGTCACAGTCCTATACTGTCTATTTTGTCTGATGTCTGAGAACAGTAATTTCCCGTGTTTTGTCCAATTTTTGTATGTGTTTGCTGTGGGGGCGCTAATTGGGTAGAAGTAGAAGTGACGTTGATGACTTTACGGTGTGTGTCATTGGTTTGTTTCCCCTACCATTTCACTTTTCTTCATGCCTTTTCATGTTGGATTTTTCTTCTTTCTCATTTGTGGGATAACATTCCTTTTGAAATATTTAGTTTGCTGCTATATCAGAGAAACAAAAGTTTTTATTATTAAACTGGGTCATTTACATGGAATTTGCATGGAATATTATCTGCATTTGTCTTTGATATGACAAATTAGAATATTAAAATCTATGGATAAGATTAGTTTCTTCTTAGGATCTTTAAATAGTTTCTATTGTGAAAAGAAAGCAAGTCCCCTAATGACTTCTCATAATCTTGAGGTTCAGAAAATAACTGTTACCTCTGAGCACTTTGCAGCTAGCTGCCCTGTACAATTGGTTCCATGTCTTGGAAGGAAAGTGAGGCAATGCTGATATCATAGGTGGGGCTGGTGTGTAACTGTGTCTTTTTTCTTCTATATAACCTGAGCTTTTAAAAATTGTGTTTTATTTTAAAATTATGATATTCTTCTTCTCTATGGGTTAATTCTAAGTATGTTAGTTGTCATTCAGTGTGAGTTTACTTTTACTACCTTTTTTACTTAACAGAAAGAAAATGGGTGGAAACAAATATTTCCTAACTGCTTAAGGTAGCAAATTACATTACTAAATTTAAAGCCATTTGTTTACAGCCCTAGTTCAGTGCTCTGTGTCTCCTGTCTCCTAATTTAGTTCTGTTTCCATTAGCCTATGTTACTCCTTCCCTTTGTAATTAGGACAGTGATAGATATTCAGTTGATGTCCCTTTTGCATTTAATATTTCAGTAACATTTTCAAAGTCGTAATTTGTCTGTGATCCTGGAAAAGTGCCATAAACAAAACAATATTGACTTTTTCTTTCCTTTCTAAGGGACAGTTTAATAACTGCTGTTTGCTTGTTTTTTTCCTAATACCTGTCTTTTCTCAGCTCCTTTAAGCCTCTGTAACACTCACTCTATTTCTATTTATTTTATAATTTATTTTCTAATGTCCTTCTCATGCCACTGGCTGTTTTAGTTTTTTATGTGTTTATTAAATCTCCCTAACTGAATTTTAAGTTTTTGATGATAAGGACCTGTTTTAAATTTTGTTTTCTTTATGCCACCCTTAAATGCCTCTTTTATTCCTTTGAAGACTTTTTAGCCATAATTTCTTACCACCTTGTAACTTCCTGATGCCATCTTCCCCATCTCTTGTCTCTGAGGCCTTTTAGGGCAGCCTCTTCATGATTCACATTCACTTGTGAGATGCTGGCCTTAACTCTGTCCCTTACTCTCTGCATTTCTTACTCTCAGAGCTTTGTAGTGTTAAAAGTGAAATGGTTCATCAAACATAATGTATAAAATGATTATCACATCTTTCCAGTATTAAAACCAGAACTATTGATGAACATTTGCCATTTACACACCAGGGGCTATGAAATATCATATTTTCAAACAAGTATTATTCTTTGGGGAAATTTCATAATTAATTACCAAAAAAAGCAATATGCAAAACTATATGGTATAGAGGTAATTTTATAAAATAGCTATATATATGAAGAAAATATATCAAAATATTTCCAGATTTCCTAAAATGAGCACATATTTTATCTTTAGAGAAAGAAAAAAAAAACCTCAGCAGAAGTTATTTAAGAAATAATCAAGGGCAAATTGATTTTTAATGTGAAATTAGACTTAATAATGTGACACTATATCAGGTTGAACAGTGGTTCTCAGCTCCGGTTGTGCAGGACAGTTAGAATCTCTGGGTGCAGGGCCTGCTTATTGGTATTTTTAGTAAGTCTCTCAGGAGATTCTTTTGTGCATCTAAGTTGAGAACCACTGGTGCAGTCTGGAGTCCAGAGCATCTTAATTATTTTCAGTGGAGTCCTATGTGCATGCTTATGTTTACCTTTGCTTGGGGATCCTTTTATTCAGTAGGGCACGCAGGGACCCTGTGCTTCTGGTAGGGCTTCCCCTTGATGTGGAAGACTTGTTAAAAATTTGGTTGCTGCTGATACGGGTATCTGCTCTAGGAAAGAGCTCCAGTTAGTTAGCTCCCAAATTTCTTACATTTGGTCTTGAAATGAAGGTAAGACTAACATTTAAGATAGATGTTTAGGTAAGATAGATACTAAAGATATTCTCTCTCCTACCGATGGCTATGTCTGGTTTTGTTTAGGGCCTTAGTCCTTACTGACGTAGCGAAGCAGCCTTGGAGTCGTGGTGGGGGTCCCCAGAGGTGGGGAACTTGTGATCTCTGCCTCTAAATAACTGAGAGACACTCTCTGTATTTCATTTCAAGAAAGTAAATGTGCAGAGAGAACTGGTATATTGATAATTAAAAAGTTAGGTAATACCAGGAGAAAAATATCCCTTTGTGTTTTCTTACTACCAGACTTTATAATGAATTAGTTCTTCAGTTACCCTTTGCCGTCATGTCAGTGAGCTCACAGCAGAGCTAGGGGTGGCGGTCAGGCTCTGGGGTCTTGTTTCCCAGCAGCTGTTTATTTCATAGCCATTTCCCAGTATGTACTAATAAAAATCTGGACTCTGAAGTTTTATGGAAAGAAGTTTGCAGACTGATGTTTAATTTCCCTCACTGATGTTATGAGAAGTGACCTGAATTTTCAATTCACATGTAATTTTTTGGTAGGAAGGAGAAACTTTATACAGATTCATTTTTAAATGGCAGCCAGTTGCTTTTAGATGGTGCCATTGAAATATATCACATTTTAATTTTTTTTCTGTTGTCATCTTCATTTTGACACTTAGAAGTCTTAAAGAAACGTTTAGTGATATTCTAGTTAAAATGTCAGTCCCAATTTCTTTTCTAAATCTTGGCTATTATAGAGTTGGCAAAGTAGTTTAGATTTGAAATATGTTAATAAAATTTTAGTTATGAGTTAAGGTATTTTCTTCAACAGAAGTAGCTAGCTTTGGCTAGAGTGCAATGCCAAGGAAGTAGTTCCTTTATTTTGTTATAATGGAATCTTACTGGATTAGAAAAAGTGAAATGAGCTCAAAGAGCCTTCATTGTAATTGGGCTTTCATTATAATAGCCTGATTTATATAGGTTGATTTTCATTATAAGTTTAATAAATTATTGCCTGAAGGAAAGCTTGAAAATTAAAGTTGATGTGACATAGGTTGAAAGTGAATAAATCAGAATTTTATACTGATGGTAGTAATAGGCCAGGGTTTGTCTTAGGAAAATCCCTTTCAAACCTGAGTTATATTAATGAGCTGTTGTAAAAGTTAGCCTTCGGAGAGTAACTTTGCCAAAATTCCTCTCTTGAATTTCTGTTTCTTTCTTCATTTCTTACACTGAATCTCTTACTCCTATAGAAGGCCTGTTATCAGCCACGTGCTCTAAACCTTCACAAATGTCTGTCTAGCTACCATTGCTGAGAGGAAAGGAACCACAGGCTATGGTGACACTTGAGGTGATGAGTCCACAAGTTGGGGATTTGGCACACCTTGGTGCATTGGTTAGTTTCTTCTTCTTAAGAGGTGATGACGTGCCCAGCCCTCGAATACCATTCTCTTCCGAGGATGGGCTGGAAAGTAAACTTACCTGTAACAAGTAAGGCAAGCTCATTTTCTGGTTACGTATGGTGCCTGTTTGCTGCTGAATATTTAACCAGCTACTGCCTCACTCTTTGTAGATTGCCTAATCATTATTCCTGTAAGTACTTTAACTGAAGACTCCTGTTTTTCTGAATTACAAGAAATCTGCAATATTAGAACTGTGTGTTTTGAGGGTTAAGTTTTATTTAAATCTTAAGGAGAAAAATTAGCTTCTATGACAGTGGGGTATCTTGAATGAAAAAAATGAACATATTTTTAAGTCTCTGTAAAAGGCATCTCTAGTAGCAGAAATCTACATATTATCACAAATTTTCTCTCAGATAAGGTAGTGGACCTCATCACTTCTAATGCTCGACTGACCCTTGAACTCCAGTTACACGGGTATTCTGTCCAAAATAGCTTTCCTCCCATACTGGCTAACAGAAGGGCAGCCCTAAAATCTGTTTAGGGATGTTAGCTTCTTCATTTGAAGTTTTCACTGCTTTTCACATTTTTTCGCAGATTCTTAATAAACAAGAAAATATCAATGCAAAATGTCAAACATTAAATAAACAGTAATCAATTTTAGTTTGACAAAATTTATTAAGTCCACAAAATTATAAGATTGTTTTTACTCTTCCAGATTTATTTAACAAGGCAAAACTCCCAACAGGCTGATATTTCTTGTGTGTCAAATACCTTTTTGTGAATATAAGCCTCTTTACAAATAATTTTAACTGCTAATTTCCCTTAAAATAGGAAATGAATGTAGTTCAGTAAAGTTGGTGGAAAACAGTTCTCATTGAGCCTCATTTTCCTCTTGACTCTAAATTATCACGTGGGAAGTAAATTGTAGGGCTCCTTAGTTTGAAAAACGTGGGAATCAGGACCAGAAAGGAAAAGATGAAGTTAAATGGACAGTACTTGCTCTCTCCGGAGTCCCAGAACACTTCTTTGTGGTAAGGTTGGGTTTCTGCCAGTTCTGATAAGCTAGATATAGCTGAAATGAGAAACAGGAAAGGAATGGGATTTTGCCACTGATTACTTAAATCAAGTATTGAAATTTTATTAAATTTGAGAAGTACATTGTAGCCCCTTGGGAAAACAGTAAACATGGTTGCTGATCTTGCTTAAGAGGAAGCTTAATAAAAGTGAGAATAAGTTTAACAATTTTCTTAAACTTCTGCCAAGACTGAGCTGCATATCTGATTCTGTATAGTTCATCACTTACAGAGGTGGAACTTGAGAGAAATATAAAACTTTTGGACTTTTCTGAGACTATATGAAACATTTTTGAAGAGTTTTACTTAATCTTAAATATAGTTTATAAAGTTAAATATCAAAATCATATTGTTTAGAAAGAAAAATTGACTTACTGTCTTTTTTGAAAGTTTATTGACAATAACTCAGTAATTTTAACTACTGCTAGTACTAATTAACTCTTATGTTTTGAGGAACCCAGTGACAATGGACCTCTTTTTACTGAACTAAAGTTCTACCAGCGAGCTGCCAAACCAGAACAAAGTAAGAAACACGTACACGTTTATGCTTTTAAAATGACCACTGTTTTTGTTTTGTTTAAGCCAAGACTGGAGCATTGGATCTTACATTATGACATTTTGTTATGTTTTACTTTATAGGTAAATTCCACTTAAATGAGAATTATATGTAAGAATTTTGATCTCTTAATAGATTGGTTATGATGAGATTTCACTTATATTGATATTAATCTAGTTAATAAATAATATATGATTTAGGAAATATTGTTAAAAATTGAGAATTTATTGAGTATGGCTCAAGGATCTCCAAGTCTTGTTGAGTATTTTTCTAAACTCTGGAGGACGCAGCCTGCAGGGCTGCAGTAACTGATGGACTAGAACAGACTACCAGGGAAGAGAACTGGGCCTCTTTAGCTGCCCTGGTCCTTTCTGTCCTCCGGTCCCCTCCCCTTGCCCCCTTCCCACCCCCTCTAAAGATCCAGGGAGTCTCCTGGGAGGATGGTCTCAGGCTTGGCAATCTCTCAAGAGAGCCTTCTGACTCTCCTAGAACTTGACTTTCTGGTTGAGGATTTTTAGATTGGGGTGCAAAGTAAGTCTTTCTGTGGAAGGAACTAAACATTCACAGAACTGGAGATACTAATTGCAGTTGCAGTACTGTGGTTTGATTTTTTTAAAATGACTTTTCCAAAAATATTTTCTTTTGCAGATTTTTCATATGTTTAGGGCAGGATAACAAAATTTTCTGAGTTAATAAAAATGTTTTGATTATAAAGTACTTTTCATTTACTGGGTATAATGTTCTGTTCGCTTCTTTTTTTTATGAATACAGGGGAAATCTTATTGCATGTATAAGTACATTCTGTTCTTAGTGATTTATTTATTTATTTACTTATTTTTCTTAATGATTTTTTGAAAACTACTTATGTATCACAGAATTGAAATCACAAGCATGTGTTCTAACTTGCAGTTCAGAAATGGATTCGTACCCACAAGCTGAAGTACCTGGGTGTTCCTAAGTATTGGGGGTCTGGTCTACATGATAAAAATGGAAAAAGGTAAAAATATGCAGATTTTGTTTTTCTTCTCCGTTTCTGAGCATTCACTGTTTAGTTTGTTCAGTCAGGTATCGGGCACTAAGCCACCTGTCTATGGTACTGCTTGGCCTTCACCTGGGCTACGTGGAACGTATTCACAGAGATGAACAAGGGGTTATCTCTCGTCTAGGAGACTTGACCCAAGTGGTAGCAGCTGCCTGGAACCCAGCTGACAAGTAGGAGCAAAGCCAAACATGCCTGTATTATTTTTTTCCCTTAAAAATGAATAAATAAACAGACAAAAATCTCCATGCTGTTTATGTAAAAGGAAGCCCTCAGGCTTCAATTTGGCATTTCACGTTAGATACATAATCTGCCCATCTGTATGGGGTTTCAGTCTAACTGGTGAGAAAAAGCAAACCTGTATGAAACAATCAGAGACCAGTTAAGTGCTGAACTGTGAGATTCTGACTCATACGTGTCTTAGGAGTTCAGAGTGGAGAGGATATTGCCGGCATAGTTGAGTTGGAGAAAACCTCCGGTGCTTTGATGCATAACTGGCACCAAAAATACTTGAGTTAATGGATGGAATGTCACAGTTATGTTGGTAGCTGAGAGCTGAGGAGTAGATTTAGCTGGAGCGGGGGCTGCGTTGGCTAGCGTGCTTTTAGCTGCAAGTAGAGGTGAAGCTGACTCAGCTCTCTTTAGTGGTCATCAGGAGCCCAGCGTCCTCACCCTGCCCTCTGGCCCTCTTCATCTTAGCTTTGCTGTTGGCTCTCCAGGGTGCGGTCCCAAGGTGACTGTCCGTCTCTGGGCTTCTCGTGCAGACACACCCAACAGCAGAAAAGGGGGCTGCTGCTTCTGAGTCTCAGCTTCCTGGCAGGGAAACCTTTCCCAGGGGTTTTGTGGCAGACTTTCCCTGGTTTTCTTGGTCAGGGTTTTGTCAGCTGATTCCTAAAGCAGCCACTGGCAGGGTCAAAGCGGTCACAGCGATGAGCGTGTGAGGCACTTGGGTAAGAGGATGGTGAGCTTGAGACAAATCGGCGCTGTCAACGAGGCGGAGAGGAGAGCAGAGGGGCCGTCGGGTGGCCGTGGTCGTTCACGGGGAGCCCTTACCCTGGAACCCAGGCGCCTCGTAGGGAGCACAGGGATCCCCTGGAATAACGAGGTGACATTTTGCTACGTGTGGTTCTGCTGAGACAAGTTTCTATAGTTTTTGTGAAATTTTCTGGAGAAACAGTGTGGAGCAAGGATTCTGGAGCCAGACACTTGATTTCAAATCTTTGTTTTGCCCCTTAAAATGTGTATGACTGGGTAAGTTACTCCTTTTTGCCTCAGTTTTTCATCTGTGAGATAGAGTAACACCTTCCCACATAAGAAGGGGTACTAAGTGTAAAGCTGTTGGAACACATGCAAGTGTTAGCTTTTACTCTCAAAGAGACCTTCGATCCCTTAGAAAGTCATTGTAGAGAAGTGGTAGCATCTCAAGGGGAGAGTGCCGTGAACGCCTGGGCGGAGTAGGCTTCTGGCCTGCTGGGTGGCCTCCTGGCCATCTTTCTTTAACAAGGGAAGGAGGCATGCATGCGGAAGAGAAGGAAGTAACTTGGAGAAAGAAAGAGGCTGAAGCAGATAATGAAGACCTGGAGGGAAGGGCTGTTGGGAGCCCGTGTGCAGGAGGTGACCGGGAGCCACTGCACGTTGTCCAGCTAAGGACAGCGACACGCGGGGTGAATGCGGCATTTGGGAATTGGTTTACATGGCGAGTTGGAGCCTCGCTGTGGGGAACTTGGGCAGGAAAATTCCTTACAGATGACTTGTTCAAAAGCAGATACATTTGTACCCTGGTATACAGTCGTGTTCCTAAGAAGTGGTACGTTATCAAAACCTGCGTTTTATAGAGATAATTGGAAGTGTGGCTGGGGCTAGGTCACTTTAGACTTGGAATAACCAAGTTTTTTTCCCCTCCTTCTAGAATTTCAGTACAAACTTTTCTTTTAAAAAAAAACAACAACAGCAAAAGTGTATCACAATGAAATCTAAACCTCACTGAACTTGAATGCGCTTGCCTTCGTCAGGGGTGGTCCTAGGCTAGTCTCTTTGTTTCCCATGTTTCCTCACCCGTCAGATGGGGGTAACAGTGCTTACTTTACGGAGTTATTGTGACGAGACGAGAACATGTGACTCATAAGCGGGATTTTCTGGCACATAGTATGTGCTCAGTAAATGTTAATTGAAATCATTATCGTTGTTATTATCAGATTTGCTTATTTATTTTTCTTTGGGATGATGACTTTAAAGTTGTCAACACTGTGATAGCACACTTTATACATTCTTATCACTGATTTTGTGATAAATCAAAGAGCCAATTAAACAGGGCTGTGAGCGTGGCTCCTGTGAAGTGATCAGGGCCTGGGAGATGGTGGGCCGGAAAGCTGATTGTGAACTGACAGGAGCGCTGCAGGACAGAACTCCCCCGTGTGGACCAGAGGATGCTGTGGAGTGCAGGGACTCGAGCCACATCTGACTCACCACAGCCCAGTGGTGGCTGTACCGCTCAGCCTGTTTCTTCTGTAACATTGAAATTGCTAGAATGAGCTCCTAAAAGGGAACACTAAGCACCTGTAAAGTATTCATTTACTTTTTAGGTTGAAGCTCTTAAAAATAATCATTTTAGTTCTTACGAAAGTAAAAAAATAGAAAGTAAGATTGTCTTTCCAGCTGCCAGACATCAGTACTTGGCCCTGTAACTCATGTGAAGTGATATGAATATAGTGTTGAGAACAGTGTTGGGCTCGTGGAAATGTTAGCTACTGTCATTATTAAATCATTTACACTGGTGTGTATATTCCCATTATTTGCATTGTTTTATTCAAGTCCCCAGGAAATTATACATCGATGGTTTTACTTTAGAAGAGTTATTTAAAAGTAGCTTTCTGTTTGGTTCTCAGCGGCAGAAATATCCTTGCAGAATATGGTAAAAACTTCTGTGCAAAATGTAGACTCACGCTTTAGTTGACGTGTGTAATTTAGAAATGGTGAGGTTAGAACAGTGGTGGCATGGTCTGTGAATAAAAACAAAGTACTTCATGTGATAGATTAACAGATCCCAGGTTGAATCAAGCAATTGTGTTTTTGCTCCGTTTCAGAGTGTCAGCAGAGGTTGTATTTTTGTTACTCATCTATTATTTTGTAATAATTACACACACATCACTTACTTGTAGAAACAAACATGTACATGTGAACTTGGTCTCATCCCTCAACCTTTCAAACCTGTTGTACAGGGGACTCAGGAGGTCAAAATTGCTGTTCCCTCTTTGTCATCGTAGAGGTCAGGACACCAAGGGTCTGACACGAATGAGTACATTTTGCCATGACTAATTACATGGCTTTGGACAAATCACTTTACCTCTACAGACATTAATTATTTTATTAAAAGATGTTTAGAAAGATGATCTCTAATTCTCTTCCAGTTCAAAAATAAGTAGAATCCTGAATTTTTAGTTTGGCGTGTTGTGTTTTAATGTTAGCTCTTCCTTCCCTGTTGAACTTGTTGTATTGTCTTTTTATCTTAGAAGCCTACACCCTATAAATTGGCTTTTGTGTCCTACTTAACATTTGTTTTGGTGTTTAATGTGATGGTCAAAAGCATGGATCCACCACTTCCTAGAGGACAAATTACTAATGATCAGTTTTCTTCTGCTGTAAAATGGGGCTGAAGGACCACCTACCTATAAGGGTGATGTGAGGTTTAAATACACTGGTACATCCAAGTGCTCAGGACAGTGCCGTGAACATACCAAGGCTTCAGTAAATGCCAGCTTTTGTTGTGATGATTGATCTTGTCCCTATTAGAAGATACTTCGATACATTTTGAATTTGGTCTTGGTTTTTATTGATTTATTGAGTGATTTAATCAGACAACTCAGAACCTAGAAAACTCTATAAAGATGAAAGTGGTCCTCAGAGCACGTGATGAGCCGTGTTACTGCAGCTGGGTGATGCCTTTCTGTACACACTGAAATGTGACATGGTTATTGAATCTTAGAATTTGGGTGCTGGAAAAGAGCTCTGAAAGCACGAGGCCCTACTCTCACATTTGACACCTGTGGAAATTGGGGCCCAAACAAGAAATACGACTTGACCAAGGTGACAGAGTCGGTTTGTGGCAAAACCAAAAATCTTCACATTTTTCCAGGACATCTATTCTTCCTCAAATCTTGGCTATTGAGTACTTAGTATGTACTTCTTTTACACCATTTGAGCCGTTTTATTGTATTTAGCTATTGTTACAGCATCTCTTGACAGTCTTGATTTTATCAGAATGTTAATAATACTGCTAAAATGTGCCTTAAAACAGAAGAACAGCCACAAGCAGGAAGCTAATATTCAGAAATAAAAATTAACTTTATGACAGAAATCAGTGCTGTCAGTCTTACTCAGAGGATTTTGTCTTCGCCGTGACTGGATCTGCTGTGTTCTCTCTGTGGGTGTTGTTGAATGTTGTCTCCTGTAACTTGCTGAGACCCGGAGGCCCCAAGATATAAGTCAGGACAGGAAAGCTCTTGCAACTTTTGAGATTTCTGGTTGGGAGAACTTGTTTCACATGTTTATCTTTCCTTCCTTCCTTCCTTTCCTTGTCTTTTCTTTCTGTCTACTTTCTTACTAAACATTGCCTTGAAAAAATTCCTTTGAAAGGAGAGTACTCATTGCAAAGTAGGTGCTCCTGAGGTGCAGTTTGTTCATTGACTTTTCTTGTTTGTCTTCAGTTACAGGTTTATGATAATGGATCGCTTTGGGAGTGACCTTCAGAAAATATATGAAGCAAATGCCAAAAGGTTTTCTCGGAAAACTGTCTTGCAGCTAAGCTTAAGAATTGTATGTGAGCTACATCCTTCTTTTTAATCCAGTAAAGGCTAGTTGTGTTGAAGCTCGGTCCTCTGCTGGTTGGTGTCAGGTACTGCATTAATTTATTCTATATGATGCTTTCATAGCTGGATATTCTGGAGTATATTCATGAGCATGAATACGTGCACGGAGATATCAAGGCCTCAAATCTTCTTCTCAGCTACAAGAATCCTGACCAGGTAGCTTTATACCTTTAATTTCTACCATTTAAAACCTGTTGTTTGAAAACAAATATGGTTGCTATGAACTTCTGAACCCATGCAGAAGTTTTACTTTTTGAAGTAGATATGGTAATAATAATATTTCTTCTTGACACTTTTATCTAGTTAACATTCTACATTTTTGAAGCGATTTGTTGGCACTTTATCAAGTTGGCTATTTTGCCCTAAATAATATTCAGAAGAAGTACTTGTGATACAAAATGGATTTCAAATAGCTATTTGGGGGTGGAAACTTAAAATTATATAGTGCACCAGTGAATTATGTTTGCCTGTCTGCTTTGTCATTTTTAAAAAATTTCCTTTGTTCAAGAAATCCATCAAATGTTAAGTGTTCTGTTACTTGTAAAATTTGGTCTTTAACATGTTGATTATTCAAATCAATTGGTTTACAGAAATATCTTAGCTGTCTAAGTTTGTATACCCATAGTGTTTGGAATTCAAATGAGCATTTTTTAAGTTTATTACATTTTCTTTATAATTTTTACTTCTTAAGGAAAGGAGAAAAGCTAATGTTACTGTACTTTTGTTTGGGTCAGTTTAGTTGGAGTAGAGGGATTTATAATTTTCTTGAAGCTGATGCCATGATGTTGCTAAAGGTAGGGTTTCGGAGACACTCACAGTTGGGTCACGGTACTTAATCCCTTTCACGTGTGCTCTTATTTGATCTTGTATAAGAAAGGAATATTTTAGCATTTTAAGTGTGTTTATGTTGAATGCCATACTTTATTTTTCTTTTTCTGAAGGATTCCATTAATTAATTGAAGTAGACTGGACTTGTATAATATAATAAAAATACGACTTATTTCCATTTGTAGTTGAGTAAAACATGCTGCCTTTTGTTTAGATGGAAATATGTTTGCAGCTCTGTTACCCTTTGGGCACATGTTTCAGGTGGGGTTATTCTTCTAGTGTTAGATGTGTGGTCTCGACCCATCCCCTAGTTCTAGTCCAGTTCTCTCCTGTGACCAGATGCGTGCATGTGTGAGACCGTTACTGGGAGTTAGAGATGCAGTGTGTGGTTCTGGATTAGAGGAGAGCCACATTTACTAGCTTTGCACGCTAGTCAGATACACACCCACATACCTGCAGATATGTGTATATGTTATATCAGAATTTAGTTTTTAATTATGAAGACTTGACGTTAATATGTATAATATTTAAAGGTAGATAAGAGCCTCATCTAAACATTCTTCAGATTATTATTATAATCTATGAAATGTTTTTATGGAATGAATTGATATTTGATTATTTTGTAAGTGTAGGAGGAGAGGAATAACTAATACAGCATGTGTCAGCTGAGTTAGCTGTCCTACACCCAGTGTGTGGCAGCTGTAGTGCAACAGGTATTAATGGTTTACTCTGTGCTCAGTTTTGTTCTGGGTGCTGTAAGAAATAGTGTAAGATTATAATCTTTTAGATTAGGAGTTTGGGATTAATAGACACACACTACTATATACAAAACAGATAAACAAGGACCTACTGCAGAGCACAGGGAACTATACTCAGTTTCTTGTAATGAGCTGTAATGGAAAAGAATCTGAAAAGAAAATATATATGTGTGTGTATGTTTAACCGAATCACTTTGCTGTACACCTGAAACTAACATTGTAAATCAACTACACTTCAGTAAAAAATAAGAATTAAAAAAAGATTTATAATCCTTGCTCAAGTTGAAGAGACAAGATTATTTACAAGTGTAACACATGCTTGTCTAAAAAAATCCAGTTGGTGTTATCTGCACTATAGCTACATGGTCATTTAATGTTTTTCTTTAAATAAAAAGTCTTTCAGAATTGAATATTTGCTGCTGTTTGCGTACTGGATCTAACTTGTCTGGGGCACTGTAGCACGTCCTTGTAGATGAGTGTACCCTCGAATGACAGTATTTTGTTTCTGGGCTTTAAAGGAGTATATATGCCATCATCTTGGCTTTAATTTGTCTTGGTGCTTGGACGTTTTTAGGTGTACTTGGTAGATTATGGCCTTGCTTATCGGTACTGCCCAGAAGGGATTCACAAAGAATACAAAGAAGACCCCAAAAGATGTCACGATGGCACGATTGAATTCACCAGCATCGACGCGCACAATGGTGTGGGTACGTCAGTGGCACCTGAGCAAGAAGTACCCTGCTAACGTTCCCAGCTAGACTCCTGCACGGTTCTTCATTCTGCACCATAGATAAGTAGATAAATCAGTCAGAACTGAAGAGGCAAGGCAGGGTGGGGGGAGAAGGGAGTGCTAAGCTCCTGCAGTTGTGCAGCAGGGCCACCTGTGTGCGTGCGTGTGTGTGTGTGTGTGTGTGTGTGTCCGTGTCCCGTTTCCTCCCACCCTTCAAAGATCGCCGGGGTTTCAGGCGTGAAGGCGGGTCAGTCAGCTACAGTGAGGACTTCTGCTTTTACTCAGCTGGAACGTTGGATCTTTTCCTCCTTAAAAGTCTTCACGTTTCTTATGCAGCTACAGCTTGGTAACCGATAAACTGTGATTTATCACTTATCAAGTTGGCCTGTTTCTTCAGCAGTCATTTCTTTTCTGTGCCCAACACTGGAGGAGCTAAACCCCCCAGTTCTCTGGGCCTCTTAATAGCTTGTAGCACTTTTACTGTCTTCACATTTTCCAAGGACAGTATGAAATGTGTCATTGTTTTATAACTTACTTCCTAGACTGATACTCTCGGTTTGAAAATTTAAAGTTTACCAGTTGGGTTTTAAAGTAAATTATTGATTGGAGGTAAATTATTTTTGTATACTGCCCCAGATAACAGTGCTTTTTAAAAAACTGAGTCAAGATTTTATGATGAGGACCAAGACTGTAGAGTTGACTCTTTTCCCTTATTGTTTTAGATACACCTGAGGTTCTGCCGCAGACACTGTGTCAGTGTGCTTAATCTGCTCCTTTTGTGTTCGTAGCCCCCTCAAGACGTGGTGATTTGGAAATCCTTGGCTATTGCATGATCCAGTGGCTTAGTGGCCATCTTCCTTGGGAGGATAATTTGAAAGATCCTAACTATGTTAGAGATTCCAAAATTAGGTAAAGGAAAACTTTTAATAAATTATTTTGGGTAAAATCATGATAAGACAAATGTATTTAGTCAGAACTTCGTGACAGGAACTATAGTTATAACTGATACTTATGAAGAAATAAGGAAGTACTTATGGAACAGTAAAATTCCTTAGTCTTTTGCTTATCTTATTTTAGAAGAATGTCCATAAGCATGTTTAGGGTGTAGCACAATGCTGCTTAATGTGCTATTTACTGGTATTAAATATTAATAACTCTTCATGGCATCAAGCTTCAAACAATGACTCATTCTTTAATTTTTAACAGATACAGAGAAAACATTGCAGGTTTGATGGACAAATGTTTTCCCGAGAAAAACAAGCCAGGTAGGAAAAGACTTCTTAACTGTTTGTAGGGATTTTGTTTTCTTAGAGAAAGAGAAGTCATGAGGTGCCTGGACTATCCCTTAATATAAGAGTGTAGGTTTTGTTAAGTGTAGTCATTGCACTGGGGCCGGCTCTCGTGACAGAGCGCGTCCCTTCCACAGGTGGGCCTCACTGTTATTAGTGCTTTCAGTAAAGAAATCAAATTTCATTCGTTAACTCAACTTTTTTTTTCTTTTTACCTTTTTCGTTGTGTGCCGAGGACTGTTCCAGGCACTAGGGAGCCCCTAGTGAACAAAACAAGCAAGAGTCCCTGTCCTCGTGAAGCTGGGGCGCTAGTAGGGAAAAGTAACAGTAAACTAATGAGTGAATGGCCTCGCTGAGGAGGCGACACCTGAGTGGTTGTAGGAAGGAGACAGGGAGGGACATGTGGACAGCTGGGGAAGAGCGTCTCTAGGCAGAAGGAGCGGAAGTGCTGGGGTGTTTGAGGAATGCCTTCCCTTAGGCTGTCACAAGGGCTTTGGCTTTTACTTTGAGTGAGACCTTAAGGTTTAGATGAAGAGAGGCATGAATTGTCTGTTAAGAGAAATCTTTCCAGCTTCTGTTTTAAAGATAGACAGACAGCTAAGGAAGCAAGGCGGGGTGTAAGCAGGAGCCAGTCAGGAGGCTATTGCAAGAATCCAAGCAAAAATGCAGCAGTGGAGGTAGTGAGGAGTGGTCCGTTTGGGTATATTTAGAAGTCTTGTCAAGCCTTTGCTCTGTTGTCTCCGTTTTAAGGAGGTCTACCCTGACCTTATGCCATTTAAAATTGCAGCCTACCAACCACCTCAAGAAATGGGATGTTATAGGTTTCTCAGAATCCAGCCCCCACCCCTCCCACCACCCCCAGTGCCTCATGCCAGTCACGAGCCTCTCCTTCTGGTCTGATGAATCACTAGCCTAACTTCCAACACCAAGGCTTTGTTTTTGAACTATATAGAAATGGAATCAGGTGAACAACATACATCACTTCAGGAGCGCAGGGATTTTTAATGTTCTGGTTCTGTTAGGGTCCCTTTTCTTTCAGTATTGCGTTTGTGACATTCATTCCCACTGTTGCATTTTTGGACGTTTTAATTTATTTTCTAACTATTGAGGAGTAATTGACAAATGCAACTGTCCATTGTGACGATTGGATGTGCAGGCAGAGCCCTGCTGTTGTGCTTTGCTTTTTTGTGCTTCATAGTTATTTATTTATTTATTTATTTATTTATTTACAAATTGAAGGTTTGTGGCAACCTTGTGTTGAGCAAGTCCATATTGCTGCCATTTTCCCAGCAGCAGTTGCTCACTCCATGCTCTGTGTCACGTTTTGGTAATTCTCACATTATTTCACACCTTTCATTGTATTTGGTTTGCTGATCTGTGATCAGTTTGCTTTGATGTTACTATTGCCTAAAGGTTATGACTCACTGAAAACTCAGACAATGGTTGGCATCTTTTTAGCAATAAAGTATTTTTTAATTAAGGTACGTACATTTTTTTAGACATAATGCTATTACACACTTAATAAACTATGGTATAACTTTTATATGCACTAGGAAGCCAAGAAATTCATGTGACTTTATTGTGATATTTGCTTTATTGTCAGTCTGGAACTGAACCCACAGTCTCTCCGAGGTCTGCCTGAACCTATACAGTGTAGAATGATTACTAAGATCAAGACAATCCAACACATCTATCACCTCGAATAGTTAAGAGGGTTAACAGTGGCCTTTCTTGGAAGGACCATTCTTTCCTTGTGATGCCACCTTTGTCTTAAATCAGGTGTGCATCTGTTTCTGGAGTCTTCTCTTTCATTTGTTCTGTTTGTCTGTTCTTGAGCCACACTGTCTTAATTACCATAGTAATAAGTAATTCATCTTAAATCCTGATATCTGGTAGTTCAAGTCCTGTAGCCCTGTTTCTGCTTTAAACCTGACTTTGCTATTTTGCTTGACCCTTTGTATATCTGTGTATATTTTAAAGTCACGTTGTCAGTTCTACACACATCCCCTTCTTCTCCAGTTTGCTGGAATTTTGAGTGAGACTGCACTGACTCTGGACTAATGGGGAGCACTGACATCTTTATACTGTTAATACTTTACATCTTCCATTTAATTTGGGCTCACTTAATTTCTCTCACCTGTATCTTAGAGTTTTAATCTGGAAAAAAATCTTTCCCATCTTTCGTTATACTTGTTGCTATGTATTTGATGCTTTTTAATGCTATTATAAGTGATATATTTTTGTTAAATTTTATTTTTCCAGTTGCTTTTGGCTAGGATATAGAAGTAGAATAAAATTTTAAATAGTTATCTTATATCCTGTGACCTTGTTAAATTTACCTATTGGTTCTAGAAGTTTTTTATAGATTCCTTAGGATTTTCTGTATACACTGTCCTATTTGTGAATAAACTGTTTCACATCTTCCAATCTACTCTTTATGCCTTCTGATTCTTTTCTTGCCTCACTGTACTGGCTAAAAACGTACATGACTTTTGTGCTGAATGGAAGTTGTGCAAGAGGACTTCCTTGCCATCTTCCTCTCTCAGAGAGAAAATTTTCAGTATTTTGCCTTATTTGGTGATGTTTGCTTTAGGTTTTCTATAGATTCCCCTTTAATAGTTGAAACAGGGGATTTTTTTGTTCTTTTTCCTCGTGTACCTGAATATTTAGAATCATGCCTAGTGTGTAGAGGGTGCTCAATGAATATGTGAATGAATGACTATGTATGTACGTATGTGTGTATGTAGCACTGAAGATTTCCTGATTTATTGGGTGTGGGAAGAGAGAATTCTCGGCTTGAGGATATGAAAGGATGGAAGTTTCAGAGAAGGGCAAAGTGCAGGGGGAGCAGGTTTTAGGGGTTGGTCAGGAGTTCGGATTTGCACTTGTTGGGATTTGAGAAGACGGAGAGCAGGTGTATGAGTCAGTGGATATACACGTCTGGAGGTCAGTGGAAAGGCTAGGCTGGGGATAGACATGCATGAGCCATTAGCCTAAAGTGGATTTTTAGATGGATGTTGAGAATTGTTGGTCTTAACTAGGAAGATTTCTTTTTATGCATTTGTTTCTGCCTCAGTGTACAGTAAACCCTTTATTATTCAGAAGTCGATTTTTCTCTTTTATAGGAAATCGAGGCCATGCTTCTCTTTTTTTTTAACCTGTTTTTCATATGTTTTATTTCTCATTTGCACAAAGAATGCAGCTGTCTTCTATAGAATTAGTGGCTTCCATGGCAAAAAAAATACTGGCTATGATATTTATTGTACTTAAGCACCTTTTGCTTCATAATCTTTATTTTAGGTCCTTTTTTAAAAAAGCTTTGAAGCTACAGCAGTTATTTTTGTATATATTTAAATTTTAGGCACATCTTCTATCTTACTGTCTCTCACAATTAAAAAATGTTTTTCACATTGTATCTCAAAATCCTTTTTTTATTTGACTTACCTGATAATTCCTGAATTCAAAAGCATACTTTCCATTGAAGAAGTGATTGAAAAAAAATGTTTAACAAGATAATACATTTGCTTTCTAATTTTACTGTTAAAAATCTATTATTTTCTTAGAAGAGACAAGTATGTGGTATATATGACAAAAATTTACAAAATAATTATGTTCTTTTAGATGAAATTGCTAAATACATGGAAACAGTGAAATTACTGGACTATGCTGAAAAACCTCTTTATCAGAAGTTACGAGATATTCTTTTGCAAGGACTAAAAGCTGTAGGAAGTAAGGACGATGGCAAACTGGACCTCAGTGTTGTGGAGAATGGAGGTTTGAAAACAAAAACAAAAGCAAAGGTGAGTTTTGCTGTTGAGTTTTCCTTTGGGCTTCCTGTGACTGTGACTGCAGCAAATACTAATTTTAGGCAAGTAAATCAGTAGCTCAATAAAGAGAAAGATAACAGATTGCTTCACCATCAAGTGTTTATCACTGTTATGTAAGTGCAAACTGTTTATGATACGGAAAAACATGTAGAGGGTTGTAGAAAAATGTCCAGTAGTGAATTAGGAAATTCGTACGGAGATTCTAACCTGGGCTACTAGTACCTGGCCAAGGGATGTGGACGGGGCACTCAGCTCGTAGTCTGTGTGTTCTTTTCTCCCAGCTCACCCCTTAGAGGTGATTTTGTCTTTCACTTTTTCCTTGTTTGTTGGTGTGGTCCAAGTATTTATCTTTTTAGAATTGGTATTTGAAAAATTCCATTTGAAAATTTCCTGGTTTGTGATGTGTTTACCATTTGAACATTATTTTGGTCTTTACAGAAATGTCATTACATACAGCTGTGTATCTGCATATAAGGGAATTAATTTTTTCAAAAGAAATGTTAAATAATAAACTTTATGGGAGAAGTATTGTATAAGCAGGTAAATAACACCTGGTTATCACTTTAAAATTTAGATTTTATAGGTAAGCGTTCACTTATTGGTTATTTTTAATAATTATTGATCAACTTACTTATTTCCTTTATAATATAAAGTTATGTTGTAAAATGTTAGCTACTTTTAAATGGAAAACTACTTTTAGAAGAAAAATAATTTTTATATTATTGGCCATCTTTACTGTTATTAATTCTGTAAATTCCAGTACATTCTTTTGGAAATCTCATATTCCAAGCTGTGAGAAAAAGAGTTAAAAACAAATTTTCTCTCTTTAAAATAATAAGCAGCATATTAAAAGATTTTTGTAATTCTTTTTAACTCACAAAGGAGATAGGAACTTTGAAATTGGATCATGAATTTGAGTTTTTTGGCAAATAAATAGTAGGTCTCCTTGTAATTTCATCACAGAACCTGAAATTATACATATGCATCTACATATACATTTTTTTTGTCTTTTGTAAGTTTTATGTTAATTGCATCTGCTCCATATTTGTGGTCAACAACTGTGCAGAAAGCACATCCAGCTTTGAAGTGAAGAGGATAAATGGAAGGCTAAGTGGAATTTTTCAGTAAGGAAGTACACTTAGAGTTTGCAGACATGTAAACATACAGCATCTTCTTGCTTAGGACAGATTAGTATTTATAGCTGGCTTCTGTAGTGTTTTTCTCTAAAATTCTACTGATTGAGAAGTGAAGATCTCTGTTGCAGTGAGAACTCTCCCAGGACGATTCCCCTCTCCTTTGCAGATCACTGTTGTTTGGACCCACGTGCTAGAGAAAATTTGGTTTCTGCAGGTTGGCTGACTTTACAGCTGAATAGGTCAGTCTGCTGCAGAGCTAACATCTGCGACCTTATAATTCTCCTGTGTCCTTGGGTAATTCAGAAAGCTGGAAATTTCTTGTTGGATCATCCCCTACGTGTATAAAGCTTCATTTAGGAGGTAAAAAAAGAATGAAAAGTTGAACTATTAGATTTCCTTCATTAGTCTACTGCTTGTCTTTCCCTCAGAGCTGGCACAGGACTGTTTTTGTACTAAAAAGAAATTAATAAAAGTTAAGATTAGGTAAGGTCATGAAGCTGCCTGGTAGCCGTGTAACAGAAGCTGAATTGTCAGTTTTGTTGGCCTTTTCTTTCTGTTTGTTAAAGTGGAAGAGTTGGACCAGAGCAGGTTTTTTTTTAAACCTCAAAAGGTTTTCTTCAAATAAATTGTGAATAACCCACATCTAAAACACACAAACTCAGAGCACCAGTGACAGAAAAGTTGGGGGCTTCTGTCAAGGAAAAGCTTTCTTCTTTGAGAAATTAGTAGTCATCTCTTTTTTGGGAAGGAATAAATAATCGAGATGTCTTTTTTTGCTCTGGTTACCAGGAAGTTCAGAGCTGAATATAACGTTTCATCATTCAAACTGAATTAATCCTTGTAGTTGTATATTTGCTGCTGCTTCTTTTCCTCTGTCATAATTTTTTAAAACTTAAAAAAAGTATATGTTCTTTGTTTTTATAAGGCTCAAATCTCTTTTGGAAAGGGGTAGGTTTAATCAATTCAATATGTATTTCTCTTTATAGTCCTAAGAGCTATCTGTTATGGGAAAAAAAAAACCTGTAAGAATTGATCAACCGTAGAATGAAACAAGATTTCTATCCATTTTTTTACAGCTATGCTTGATTATGGTACAGTAAATATGGAAACTATAGTGAAATACGAATTTATCCACTTGGAAAAGTTTTTAGCTTTAATAACCTAGGAGTATTATTTAAAGCACAGAATTTTGGGATGAGATGAAGCTGAAGTAGAAAGACACTAAGTATCAATCTGCTCTTAAAAAGTATGGCAGCCAAGGATTTTTATTGTTGGTTAGAACTAGGCACCTTGATTAGAACCTGGAAGTATAGATCCAACAGTTACTGGATTCAGTGTGTATTCTTACAATTACGTATAAGGTCTAGTTTATGTCCCTGGTCTAGGTTAGGTCCCTGGGGCTACAAAGATCAATAATATGTAGTTCCATCCTTAAAGAATTTCTTCCTGTCCCATCTGGGTTAGGAACAATGTAATTTACTGGAGAGAACTCAGCAAGTTAAAAGGGCGTTAATACTTCCATTAGCTATTTTCTTGGAAGGTTTTGATTAAGTTGCTTGCCCAAGCCAGCAAAAAGCTCTGTTCATTAGAATCTCTCAAGTCTCATCCCTGGAGATCCACTGAGTAGGTCTAGAGCATGGCCCTGCAGTTGTCAATTTTTCTGTTTTCAATTTTTCTGTTTTCTGGCAATATATATGGTTGCTTCCTATGAATGATGTATACACACTCTTCTTTCCACTTCCCAGTTTTTTTTTTCCTAAGTTATGCTGGTTGGCCTTTCTAGAGTTTCTCTGAAAAATCATTACCCATTGTTAAATATGTAATAAATTCCTGCTGGTACTCATCCTGGAACATGGTACGAAGAGCAAAGAATGGCCTTCCTTCCAGTGCATATCAGTGGCCTGCAGCTTCTCTGGTGGCTGGCTTCCTGTCTCTCTGAGGTGATCACAGCTCATGCAATATTAAATTTATACTATCTAGCCTATAGTTTAAATCAGATTGCCTCAAATATACCATCTAAACTTGGTGAAGATTTGTCTAGCTGTTTTTGCATGATAAAATAATAGAAACCGTGTTCTCATTATATAAATTTAACTTGTGAACGTTGATATGTTTCTTTGTTTTCTCATGGTAGTTTAGCCATAGTTGTATATTTCAGTGTTAACAAGCAATTCCTTTCCTTAGATACCCCATTATTGAGTTCTTCATTTTGAGTCTTGTCTTACTTGGTTGGATTTGGTCAAGTATCTTTTTCCCTAAACTTTTAAGAGAGATTATGATATATGTACAGAAAAGTACACAAATAACTGTGGAATTTGAACTTTACAAAGTGATAACATGCATTTAAACATCACCCAAATCAAGATACGGATCATTGTAAGAACCTCAGAAACCTCTGTCATGCCCTGTCCCCAGCCATTTATCCCTTCATTAAGAGTAACCCCAGCCATTTTCCCTTCATTAAGAGACTTCTAACACTATAAATTAGTTTTGCTATTAAAATAGTAGTAGTACCATACATTTTGTATACTTTTGCATCTGTCTTTTATTCATTTGTATATCTGGATTTTCATGCTGTTGCATGTGACAAACGTTTTTTGCTTTTCCTGTGTAGTACTCCATTATATGACTGTATCATAATTCACTTATTCCTTCTGCTGTTGATGGATGTTTGTATTGTTTCCAGTTTTTGGCGGTTGCAATAATGCTCTTAAGAATGCTCATAATTTCTTTTGGGAAGCGTATGTTTATTTCAAGTTAGTTATATACGTAGAATTACTGGGGTGTAGCCCTTATGTATGCTTAGCTTTTGTAGATAGATACTGCCAAGCAGTTTTCCCAGTCTACTCTCCCACCTGCAGCTTAGTTCTGGTTGCTCACTGACTCTAGCTATTACATTATGTTTAATTTTATCTATTTGGTAAATATTTATTGGTGTTTCTGTATAGTTTATTTATAGTTTTAATTTAATCTCCTTGAGAATATTGATTTTGATCATCTTTTTATATGCCCGTCAGCCTTGATTATCCTTTTTTAGTGAGGTGCATTTTGGATCTTTTGTCCGTTAAAAAAAGATTAGGTTGTCTGCTTTGATTTGCAGAGGTAAGTCCTTTGTGTTATAAAATATATGTATTGCGCATTTTTTAAAAAGTCTGTGCTTTATCTTTTCCTTCTCTTAATAAGTGCTATCTTTTGATTTTGAAGAACATTAAGTTCTTCACTTTAATGAAGCCTAATTTATCAGTCTTTTTGACTATGGCTAGTGTTTTGTGTATTCTGTTTTAGGAAAATTTTGTCTACCTCAAGATCATGAAGATATTTTTTCATTAAGAAATTTTATCTTATGTTTTTCATTTAAGTCTATAATTTAACAGGAGTTGATTTTGCTCATGGTGTGAGTCAGTGTTTATTTACCCTCTGTGAATATCTAGTTGATCTAAACCATTTATTGAAAAGACCATAATGTCTCCACAGCATGTAGCTGTAACTGTATATGTTGGGTCTGTTTCTGGATACGCTATTCTGTGCCACTGACCTGCTCACCCATCCATCAATGCCACATTGTTTGAACTACTGGCTTCATAGTGATATTTGACAGTGTAAGTCCTCCAACTTTGTTCTTTAAGATTGTCTTTGATACCCAAAGTTAATAGAAGGAAATAAATCAATGATCAGAGCAGAAATAAATGAAATAGAGACTTAAAAAAAAACAACAATGAAGAAGATCAATGAAACTAAAAGCTTATTTTTTGAAAAGATAAATAAAACTGATAAACCTTTAACCAGACACATGAAGAGAAAAAAGGAGAGGGCCCAAATCAATAAAATCAGAAATGAAAAAGAAGTTACAGCTGACACCACAGAAAACTACTATGAGCAACTATACACCAATAAAATAGACAACCTAGAAGAAATGGACAAATTCTTGGAAAGATATGATCTTCCAAGACTGAACCAGGAAGAAATAGAAAATATGAACAGACCAGTTACTAGTACTGCAATTGAAGCAGTAATTTAAAAACTCCCAGCAAACAAAAGACCAGGACCAGACAGCCTCACAGGTGAATTCTAGCAACCATTTAGAGAAGTTAATGCCTATCCTTCTGAAGCTAATCCAAAAAATTGCAAAGGAAAGACCATTTCCAAACTCATTCTGTGAGGCCACCATCACCCTATTGTTTTGGGAAAAACTAACATCTTCTCAATATTCTTTTCTGTTCCATGAATATGGTATACCTCTATATTTATTTATTTAGGTGTTCTTTCATTTATCTCAGTGATGTTTACAGTTGTCTTTGATTATGTAGAAATCATACACATCTTCCATATCTGTTTTCTTCTAACTCCTTAATTCTTAGTCTGTTTCTTTTGCATCACCTGTGATTATTCCAAATGTTTCCTTCATTCAGTTGTCAGATCTGTCTGCTGTTTTTTGATGTTTCTAATATACTTATAAGTTCTTTAATGATTATCATTCTGTTTATTAGCTATGTAGTTTCCTTGTTATCTCTTGTTTTTTTTTTAAAATTATTTCTCATTGTCTCAGTCTTTAAAATCTTTTCTTTCTAAACTTCCAGTGCATTTTATGAAATTTTCTTATGGGGGGAAGAATATATTTTCTTTCAGAGTGGTGTCTTTAGCTATTTTTTGCATGCTATAGTCATTTATTTCATTTTCTTCTTTGCCCCAACTATTGTAACTCTGTTGGCATGCTTTTTCTCTTCATCTTATTAGTATTGAATAGGGATAGCTTTATCTGGACTCACCACGTTGTATTTGTGAATCCTTGGCTTTCCTGTTTTACGGAACTATTTTTCTTTTCTTCATATTTGGGATTTGGAGGCTCAGTATTGTTAATTGATTTTCTTTGCCTACAGGTGCACACTTGGGGAAGAGCTGGAGAACCATGGCTCAGCTGGTACTATAGGCCAGATTATCTGTCTTTCGCCAGTAGCTGCTTCAATTCTCTTCCTACCCAGAAAAGGCAAAACTGTGGTGAAATCTATTGATGTGCTAATGAGTTGTTAGTTAATCCACAGTGGAAGAGAGACTTCATTGGAGATCTCTTCTCCATGGCTTTAGCTCTTTATATTTACTTATTTCTTTTTCTTTTGCTGTCTATTTTGATAAGTCCTTGTTTATTGTTAGAGATAATTAATCCTGAGTGATTTGATTGTTCTGCCCTTTTTCTCGAGGCTTCTTCCCAGCTAGGGAAGAATCAGAATTGTAGGTTCTGCTTTTGATGAGTTTCTGTGGAGTAAGGAATGTCTCTTCTTTTCATGGGGCTTTTCAAGTCTTGTCTTCTAAGATTCCTACTTACATTTTGTAAATTGGAGGCTATTGGTGAAGATATCAGGATAGTGTTCACTCATGTTCTTTTCCACAAAATTGTCAGGGTGTGTAAGAGCTCGTTGCTCTCTGGAAGTGCCAACTCTCTTCTTGGCCACCCTTCCCAGAGGTTATGGTGTGAGGCTCTGCCACTATTTGCTGCTGAAATATTTTTTAATTGTTACTTTGGGTTTATTTCTTCAGATTTTGGGGTGGGAGCGGGTTGTGAAATATTACCCTCCAAATGTCCCACCCTTGTTTTTTTTTTATTTTAAAAAACACATTTTAACTTGTGTGTGTGAACATTGAGTTAACTAGAACATGTATCCTTCCTCCATAAGAGTAAACCAAACATGTTTTACTTTTACCCTCTCAGCACCTCGCAAACCATCTTCCATATTACAGTCAGTTATGATTTTAGTTCAGGTTTTTGTTTTTGTAGACTGCATTGTCATTAGTTCTTTATTTTTTTTAACATTTTTTATTGATTTATAATCATTTTACAATGTTGTGTCAAATTCCAGTGTTCAGCACAATTTTTCAGTCATTAATAGACATATACACACTCATTGTCACATTTTTTTCTCTGTGAGTTATCATAACATTTTGCGTATATTTCCCTGTGCTATACAGTGTAATCTTGTTTATCTAGTGTACAATTTTGAAATCCCAGTCTATCCCTTCCCACCCTCCACCCCCCTGTCATTAGTTCTTTAGAATTAATCATGAGTCTTAACTGATTTTTTGTTGTTGTTGTTACCACTTTTTTCTTGGGTCCATGTTTTTTTTTTCTTGGATTCATTTTTCAAAGTATGCCCAAGTAATTTTTTTAAAGAGGGTTCATGAATGGTAAAATTTTGAATTTTGGAAAACCCAAATCAGTTTATATTTTGCTCTAGTTGAAGAATAATTTAGCCGTATGGAGAGTTTTAAAATCATGACTCTGTTGTCTTCTAGCATCCAGTTGTGTTAATTTTTATTTCTTGTTAGAGTTACATGCTTTCCACTCTTGAAGCTTCTTGCTTTTTTCTTTATCTTTGGGATTCTGATTTCCCGATAAGTGTAGGTGTGTGTGTGGTTTTTTGTTTTGTTTTGTTTTGTTTTGTTTTGTTTTGTTTGTTTTTTAAACCTCATTCATCCTTCTCAGTATTTGATGTGGACCCTTTTCATCTGAATATTTAATGCCCATTGAAAAATTTATCCTTTATGTATGTATTTCATTTCCATCTGTTTCCATTCTTTCCTTTGGGAATTTACTCCGTGAATCTGGGAACTTAATAATCGAGCGTCTCTTCTTTGTGTCTCCTAAATCATCCACCAGATTTTCTTTCTTTGTCCTTAACACTTGGGTCTGTGGGCTTCTTCAAGCTCACTAGTTTCATCTGTTCTATTTTTCAGTCATGTTTTAAAAGAAATGTTATCTCATTTCTATGTCAGCTTATTCTTATTTTATTGATGTGACAGCCTCTTAAACCTTTTTGGGAATAATAATTATAATAACTTTTTCCTGTTAACTTTTGGCAAAGAGATTAGTTCTTCTGTTTGAGTTTAGTGTCTTCCTTTTTTGATTCTGTGATTTTCCTTAGATTTTGGTGGTCTTTATTTGTTCATATTTTTTGTTGATTGGCTAATTTTCATTTTTATTATTTCCTCTGCCAAAATTGGAATGCTTGTTTACCTGTTAGTTTAATGTAGTTTTCATTGCCTGTGGTTGATTTCTGTGCATTCAGAGGATGAGAGACCTTTGGCCAGATAGCTCATTTTTTTGGGTATCAGGAATCCCTGCTTCTCCACTATGTTTGTCTCGTCTGGGAGGGCACTGTACCACAGGTGCCTCAGGTGATTCTACTGCAGATGAAGGACGGGGGTGGCATACTTGGCTGTGTACTGAAATCACCTAGGAGCTTTTAAAAATCTTACTGCTTGGGTTGCACCCCAGGCCAAATAAATTAAAAGCTATGGGGATGGACCTGGGCCTCAGGATCTTTAAAAAATTTCCTAGGTGACTGCATTGTGCTCATATAGTTGAGAACCACTGCAGACCAAAATCTGAGTATCTGAAGTCCAGCTTCTATGTGGAAGGCAGCCCTTTTGCAAGTAGACAAAGGAGATTTGGTGCATTTAAATCTAAGAGATTTTAAATAATAGCATTTATCAGCCATATGACCAGTTTGTATATTTGGGCAGTTATTCACACATGCCATTTTTTTGGTCTTTGCTGTAAGAGATATAGAAGGAAGTTTGGCATCATATAAATGCCTTGAATGGTGCCCCGGGGATTTATTTTTTGACATAACAAAAGGATATGCTTATAAGATGTGTTCAAAACTTAGATCTCAAAGGACAGTTATTAGGCCAAGATTCTATTTTTCTTTGGTATCATGATTAGTTTTTAGGAATTAAGTTAAACATTTAGTGAATTTCTTTTTAATAAGAGATGAATTTTTTTAAAGTTCTTTTATTTTTTATTTTTTTTACTTTTTTGAGGGGGGAGGGAATTAGGTTTATTTATTTTACTTTTTAGAGGAGGTACTGGGGACTGAACTCAGGGCCTTTGCATGCTAAGCATGCGCTCTGCTACTTGAGCTATACCCTCCCCACTAAAGCTGTCTTTCTGTGGAAATAATAATATATCTGTCTTGCTTATAAGATTGTTTTGTGGATTAAATTAGATTTATAAAGTGCTTAGAGCAGTGCTGGACACATAACAAGTAATCAGTAAACATTAACTGCAGTATTATTGTTAATGCTGTTGTTTCCGTGATTATTTAAATTTTCTTAAGTCTCTCTTGTTTCTTGATGTCGAGAATATAACTGTTTTCATTTGAATCTTATAACATCTTTTGAACTAAGATCATACATCTTTAAAAGTTCAGCTTATGAAATAGAGTGTATTGGGCAGATGTGAATGAAGACAGGCTTACATTTCACTTGGTGAGTATGTGTGTTAAAATAGGTTGTTCTGAATAGTAAATGATGGGGAATTGGTAAAAGTTGGTTTTGCAAAAAAGATAAGGTGATAATTACTGTGAAATAAAGGCTTCAAAATTTAGCTCTCTTACTTATATTAGAAATAATATAAATCAAATTAATTAGTTTGAAGTTAACTTTTTCTCCTGAAGCTACTGATTGATACTAAAAAAACCATCAGGAATTGCCGCGAAGCAGAGGACTTCCGAGTGCCAGGGCAGCCTAGGTCTGCCATTTTCTAGCTGTGTTTAGCAGTTAGGTGTTTTGTGGACATAGCTTTGTTGAGAGGAGGTCAGGCAGTCTGTTTTTAATAAGAACTGTAATGTAGCCTAATTTATTTTGTAAAAAACTTGTTCATGTTTGGCTTGAGATCATTTAATTCCTCACTAGTACACACATTTTCATTGAAATGTGTATCTTTATAAATACCTGCCTCTTTAGTTTGAGCAAGGTGGGAGGGATGCGGGGGGGGGCACGGGCTGACTCTGCAGGAAGGGACACGTTAAGTGTGGTTCTGTGGAAGGAAACTGTGGTAAGAACCAAGAGCTCCGAGTTCTTGACTTCTCACTGCTGCCAGCAGACACGGAGCAGCTTCTCCTAGCTGTCTTCTCTCAGCCTCAGGAGGCTGTCTGTGTGCGTAGTGAACTTTAACTAAAACCCACTGGTTTGGGAAACATTGTGGCGTAACACAGGCACTTGCTTTGCCTCCATGGAAGATGTGTCCTGTCTTGTTCCTTTTAGTCCTCACTGAGTAATGTGTTCTATTTGGGGTTACTATTAAGGAATATAATAGTAATTTATAACATGTATACATTGCATGAGAATTTCAAGTGGCCTTAATTAAATGAGTAAAATAAGACTACGTGAGTTTTGCAGTCTTATATTTGTGTTGAGAGTTCTTTGTCCTTTGACACATGTGCAATCCCAAACGTTTAAAAGTTTTAGACTGTCTATTGTAAGTCTCTATAATAAACATTTATGATTTTTGTAATAAGGGGGCAAAACCCAACAACAGTCCTTGAGTACTCAGCTCCTTTGATATGCCAGTGAATCTGATTGGCTTTTAGAGGCTGTTGAAAGCATCTAGGGATGATCTTTGACATTTGAGTTAGAATGCAAAGAATTGGTCTATGGTTTTTGTCTCTGATTTGTATTCTCTTTTCAATTAAAACAGTTTTACATCTATAACTAGTCTCCCATCAGTATTTAGGTTATTAGGAAATTATCAGTCCAAATGCATCTAGCTGATTTGTCTTCCTGTTTCTAAATTAGAAGTGAGAAGCTGCTAATTAACTAAATTTTACACCAGCATATCTGAGCACTTCAAATATACAGTGTGTAATATATACACACTAAAGCCCTGTGAAATAAACTTAATTTTTAAAAGATAATTCAGCCATGTTGAATTCAAAGAAAACTCTACCCTAAGTCTGTAAGTTCTTGTGTTGTACAGTATTTTTGTTTCATTTATAAAGGCAAATAAAGGCGCCTGTGAGACTTGGTATGGAATACGAGAAAAGTCAGAGATTAGCACACTTTGTGAAGCCATTTTCTCTTCAGAGAGAAGCAAAATGTGCACCGTCTGAAGCCTTAGATGCCAAATAACGAAGTGAAGTGTTTGGAGATAATCGGGAGAAAGAAACTGGCAGCAAGTTGTTTGGAATTTTACTCATTGCGTTATAAACAAATAACATACTTAAATACTATTAAGCTGGCAGGGTTTGTTGTTGTTGTTTTTACTCATTTCTTAGTCTGTAGACCATTGGCCCTTTTATCCAAATTGTATACATTGTCAGAAAAGCTGGGCAAGAGATACCCAACCGAAATGTGGTTTAATGAAATTCAGCGCTTTACCCAGTGTTTACTGCTTAAAACACAGGTCTTCTTTTGTTGGTTGAATACTGTCTGCTTTTCATTCCTATGTAATTTACCTGCACGGAGATTAAGAAAGCTTTTTTTTTTTTATTAAATAAGCTTGAAAACAAGATGAATGCACTAGGTTCTTGGGTAGAATGTATTGGAAAGCTCCCTTTATAATGAGCATTTAGAAATCTGCCCTCCTAAAACTGAAAAATGCATCCTCTCCTATATGGAAAGCAATATAGTACTGAAATATTCCTCCTTGATTTTGGTCCGAACGAACAAAAGTGTCTGTGTTTATTCCTGCCTAATGCATCACAAATCTGCTGACATGCTAACCTTGGAGTCTTGGCTGGCGTTAATCAGGCCTGTGTACCGGCAGGAAAGATGTACCTAATGCACTCCATCAGTGCAGTTTGCATATGGAAGTTCTCACAGGGGAGCTGCCCCGTGCCAGCTGAGGGTTACCTGCCCACTGCAGTTATTGTATGTAATTATCGAACCAATCTGTTCAGCCCAGCAGGGTTTAGATGGTAATCATGAAGCAACACTTTGGAAAAGAAAGATGTAAGGCACTCTCCCCTTCTCTCATCAGTTACATGAAGTTACTGCCACTCTTACAGCTATTTTTGAGAAGCAGTACCTCCACGTACAAATCCGCTAAATGAATGCCTTTTAAAGTTTCTTAAGTCAAGATGTTATTTTTGTATATGTGAAGCATTTCCTTTAGGAACATGGTGGGTATCTCTGAGTTCTGATCTTTCCACAGCTACCTTAAGAATATTTTGAACCAGTGGGATTAATTGTGATACCTAGATAATAACAGTCCTGACTGCTCGGAGGTTTTCAGATAATGCGGCTTGAATAGAGTTGAGCCTTCCTGTGTAGTTCTCTTTAGAGCAGAACCCACGGTGGCTGTTAGGGAAGAGAGCAGCGCGCTGCCAGCAGGCCTTACACCTTCTGTAGCCGCACACAAGATGGCCGAAGCGAGGAAAATTCTCAGGCAGAGTTACACTTAATATTAATTGTTAGAGAGTATAAACGAGGACATCCTGATGCATCCTGCATCCGTGAAATGTGGGAAGGATCAGATGGTTTCCTAAATGCCACAAACTTACTTTAGTCAACCTAGAGAAGCTATGGGTTCTTATGTGGATTGTGACACATTTAAATGGGATAAAGTTTATGAAAAATATAAAGCTTTAAATTTATTACTTATGTCCTTTTAGAGTTATACCTACAGAGGTGTTAAGTATTTTCAGAAAAACTTTACACAGGACTGAACTACTTAGAAATGTTGTAGTGATAGAAAATAATAAAAAGAAATTGAATGAACATTTGGGAAGAATGAGTGGGACAGAATATAGGTATTAATTCCTAAGTAACACAGCTAGAAAAATACATAGAAAATAGGACAGGCCTGAGAGAGCGGTGGAAAATCCAGCCTGTTTTTGAGATCTTAGGAGAGCTGAGTACTTTTAAGACTCTTCCTTAACAGTAAGGTTTGTGGCTCTTTTAATCTTTATGTTATAAAAACATTTACTGGAAGTTTGCCACTATTGATTGATGAATCGAATTTTCACCAATTTATAGGGTATAACCACTGATACAATATGTCAGTCAGGCATACTGCTCCCGTACACATATAAAAGTGGGATCACTGGCCTGAGCCATAATCCCAAATGTGTAAAACGCTTTGCTTTAAAAGAGAGTTTCTGTGTAATCAGTCCTGATGATTAGAACACGGCTTTCAATGATAAACTGTATGAAGCGTGAAAGGCTAGAGATGGGTATAACAGATATGCCCACCTCCCAGCTGACTGTAATGGGAGGTCCCCTCAATTCCGTCTTCTCTCACCCCCCACCTCTTTCTGTCTGTGACGCCCGCCCTGAAGTTGTTTTGACACACCCAGACCTGTGTAGATTCATACATATACTACTATTTGGTAAGTTTATATATTTGCTTATTTGACCATCCCGCCATCTCTCTTTTTTAAAATTTTTATATGTAAGAAGAGAAAGAAAGAAATTGAGGAAAGCACGGAATCTAGTGTTGAAGATATGGAGTGCTCAGATACACGGACAGAAGAGGCCACACAAACCCGTAAGTGAACAGTCTTGCCTGTTAGCTGTTTTCTTATATAAAGGCAAATTTCATTTCCTCCCACTAAATAAGGAGTTAACTGTTTGCGTCATAACATTCTGATGTTATAACTGAAAAAACATAGAAGAAGGTCTTACATTTGTACAGTACATATCACAATGTCTTCTGTTCACACATTGTGTTACTTAGTGCTCACAACAGTCGTGAAGCTGGGACCAGAATTTCCTCTCATTTTGCAGATATGCAGCCCAAGACACGGAGCATTTAAGTGGCAGAGCTGTTGTGAAAAGGTTAGATGTGGAGACCGGAACTCTCACCTCTCAGGCCACTGTCTGCCGGTTTCCTCACACTGACCCCCTCGACTCTGGGCGTGTGAGTGAGGTCAGGAGTCAGTGTTCGTGCAGGACTTACCGCAGCTGCCCAGCCCCACTTGCCCATCCTCCTGGTTGTTCCCCACCAAGTCTGCCATCTCTTCTTCTCTCTCCGCAAGTAGGGGTGTAAGGTTTTAAAGCCTTGAATCATCACTTTTCAAAGTTGTTGAAGCAAAAAGCAAGGGATAAAGTCATCTCTTCGGTGACTCATAAACTGGTGCTGAAGGCACTTCAGTGTGGAGTAGATCCAGAACGACGTTAGCTAGGGCGGCATCTGCAGAGGGCAAGACTAGGCGGGACTTTGGTCCGGTTAGTAAGTGGCCGGTCTGCAGTGTGCAGGCACTCCCGTGGGGCCCAGTGAAGGAAAAATGCATTCCGGGTTGCGTGAGAGCTGGTTTACTGGCCTCAGTGAAGAGAGACTCTGCTGTCTACAGTACCATCCCCCACCCCCCAGATTTCTCTCTTACCTGCCTTTTGTTTGTTAATTAGCTAATTGGTCCTGAAATGTTTCTGATTTCTAACAAAAAAGGCTTTTTTTTTGGTAGAAATTTCACTAAAGGGTAAGTGCCTTATTGAGTCAGGCCAGTGATGGATTTTTACCTTCCCTTTGACAGCGGCACGGCACGTGTTTGTGGAAGGCAAAAATTGACTTTCAAAGAAAATCGTCTTCACCCTGATTTTATTAACATTTTCTTCATTATGTATTATGGACAATATATCCTTAGGTTTATCTGAAATATACCCGAGAGAAAACTTGGCCTATCTGAAGAGGGAGTGTACAGCTTCGCTCTGGAAGCCAAAGGCTTTAAAATAGTCCCTCTCACTTCTGTGCCGTCATCTTCCATTCCCTCCTGTTCCCCCGCTCCCCTGCCTTGTTCACTTTGTTATTAGGGAGTGAGGCGTCCCACGCAGCAGTACGTCGAAGCATGTCTCGGCCAGAGGCTAGCAGCAGCAACTGTGACGGGGGGTGGGAGCAACGTTAAGGAGCATTTATAAAGATAGAGTGATATTCTTACTTAAAAAAAAAATCCCTTAAATTTAAAAACGGGCAATTTCAGTTTAGGGAAGCGCCTGCGTTGTTACAGAAAGGTTGACACCCCTTTGGACCGGAGCGAATTCCCAGCCGCGCCTGGGAAGACTCAGGCCTCTCTTCACTGCCTAGAGGTCACTGTTGACTGAACTTTCATAATGAGCATCAGAGGTACTTGTTTTGATACATAAATGATTTTAAATTCGCCTGTAATTATGAAAAATGTTTTTTATGTCTAACATTTTAATTTAAGGTCCTTATACTGATGGCTTTTATTGTGAGAAAATACATTAGTATTTTTGTTTTATTTATTGACAAAAGAAGAGAGTAGACCCCACCATTAATTTAAGGAGAACAGTCTAGATTTTTTTAATATTAAAAAAAGGTAACAAATAATCAAATTCTCTTTTTATTCAGATAAACTCTGAATTGCTTTAATTAAATGCTGATTTTTCCTATTCTAATTCTTTTCTTTCCCCCTAAAGCATAAGGCTAGTTAAGGTATTTTACTATCTGAATATTCATAAATGAGAGAAATATTGCTTGTGATGGTAAAATGTTACTGCTTCTATCAAACAAGAAAAAAAAAAGCAAGCCAAGGGTTCATGAAAATATATGTATTTGTATTCATCAACTTAAAGTAACTTGAGGGAGAAGGCACATTATTACATTTGAATTTTTTTTAAAGAAATATATAATACAATTCAGTGAGTTCTGTGTTTTAGAGCTTTAAGATTTTGTGTCATAAACGTGTTTCAGAATGGTTACCTCTAACAGCTGCTTTAGAAATGTCAGTTTCTTCATTAACAATTTTATTTTCAAACACAATTTATGGTTTACAATATGGTAAGAGATTTTTCTCACTGTGTGATCTTTCAGAATGCTGTGCCTAGCAAAATGGGAGCAACTTTCCTTTAATATCTATTTAGACCATTTTAAAAACGTGTATAATTTTCTTGATACACCTAAACTCATTTTGACTAGCTGGGGGTCTATTGTGTAAGAACACATTCTGAAAGCTTTCAAAATGTGTATTGTGTAGGTTTTCTCAAAGAAAGAGAGGGGGTGACAGGGTGGTTTTCAAGAAGAACAGAGGCCTCTAATCCTTTTATTTTTATGCAAGGCATAATTTTTACCAATTGAGAAAATTTGGTAATTTACTGCAGGTAATTTTTTCCCCCACAAAAATGATAAACCTTTAAAAACCATGCATATTCTGGCATTTCAAAATCATGCCAATATTTGAGAATTATACTAAAAATTAGTTAATATAGCCATGATATTTATGGCTGGTGTACATTGTCCCTACTGTTCAAAAAATGGACAGAACTCAACAACCTGCTTTTGCTGGTGTTATTTTTGAAGTACCTTGGATTTTGGACCATTCTTGAGAATTCTTTGGGGAAAGCATGAAACCCCTTGAATATCTGTGGTCTAATCGAGAAAGAGATGTTTTTAAGGCGCCCTACAAAGAAACTCCCCACTTGTTTTTCCTTTCTGCGTTATAAACCCATAGAAGGGCATCCCACCTTGTATATTTCATGTTTCAAATGCTAAATTTTATACGTTAGTTATGATTGGACCTTTTACTAGCAGTAAAGAATTATGAAAATGAGTGTATATTTTAAAGAGATGAGAAGAGTAATAGTTTTTTTTTGCAACAGTCAGAATTGATTATTGGGAAAAATACTGGATTGATACTGGGAGCAAAGTCTCTTAAGTTGCATAAAATTGACTGTATAATAAATTCCAGGCAGTGATGGCATTTCAGTTGCAATGAGAAACTTTAAATCTAGGTTGGGGATAAGCAGCAATAGTATTTAATCTAAGAGTAAAATGTCAAATGAGGACATTAATGAGAATACTACTACTTGAATATAGTGAAAATTGTTAACTTCCGTGTCCTCTGTCATGCGACTGTAGACTCAAAATTTATTGAAAGGGATTGTGATACTCGTTATGCCAATCTCACAATCACAACGTTCTCAGTTGTCTGTGCAAAATTAATTTCAAAATTGTTGAAGTAAAAATTTAAAAATCTACCATGGAATATTTTTAAAAGAAGGCTATCTCAAAAATTGAAGAAAAAGCTCAGAAGTTTAAACCAGCTATAGTGACTGAGAAAAAAAGTACTCGTGTAAGTTTGAAGTTTGCGTGAATTGAACAATTGAATAAAAATTAGAACTTGGAAAAATGAAAAACAGACCAGTCTTCCAATTAGGTAACTAAATAAACCTATAATCGGAAAACCTTTAGAAACTGTTTATAATTCAGCATGTGTGGTAGATATTTTGTCCCAGATTCAAAAAATGTCTTGTATGTTTCAGAAAAGAAGTATTGATCTCTCGTTCTTGTTGCTCGGTGTGTTCGTTGATGAATTGTGGGCTGTGCGCTGCCCTCAGCCCGACGCTGTTGCTCCTTCCTGGCAGAGGGCAGCCCGGGCGTGGGAGGCACGCCTCTTGCCAGCACAGCACAGGCAGCTGGGATCGGCCTTCAGCTTGTCCCTCTGCCTTGCTGTGCTGGAGGTGGAGGTGGGCTGGGGGTGGGAGCTGGGGACGGAGTCTCTTGGTGAGGTGGGATCCTCATGCCCCCGGTAAAAAAGCGCTGGCTTCTTCCAGCCCAGGAACAGTTGGGGAGGAACTGCCATAAAGTAGACAGTTCAGATGTGACCCTTTTCTAGAAGGGCACTCAGCTGGCGTCTGTTTAATTCCTAGTGGAAAGGACTTTGCATTTTGGAATCACCCAGCCCTCCTACCTAAAGGGTAGAGGGGACAGGCTTTAAAAAGCAACACATTTAGAATAAAATTCCTTGGTTTTTGTAATATGTAGAACCTCAGTGCTGCCCCCAAAGAGTACTGTCCTGTTGCTATAGTTTACATTAGGAGTCAGTGTTGTAAACTGTGTAAGAAGAATTTGGGGGGAAGTGTTTCAGTACCAGTGTAAAATGGGATATGTTTTAACATTGAAAGCGTTCTGATACAACTTCAAACTGGAATGTAGACTTGGTTAGCGTATGTTTTGACAAAACTAAAAAGTTGACACAATTTCCTGAGATTTTCAGGATATTAACAGTTACAACTTTGTTATGAATTTCATCTCCACAAATCATCATAGTCAATTAGATTTTTAAATATTAATAGCCATGTATGGAAATAGTTACATTTCTGTTCTTTTGCTTTTATAAATTAGTGATTAATGATGTAAATCTTTTTTGTTTTCTCTTCAAGGTTCGAAAACCAGAAAGAGAGTCCAGAAGTAAATCAAATGCTGTGAACCAGTTTTTCTTTTCTTCCTTTCATTTGACCTTTTCCTCTTTTTCTTTATTAAGTGTCTTCTTTTCATGTGAGTCTTGTTGGGAGGGAGATAGCAGTAAAGTACCTATGTCTTTGAAAAACAAACTTTTTAAATTAAAATACTTTGTACATTTTATTAAAGCCTAATTTATAAAAGTTTGCAGTCTTAAGGTTATACCCTGTAAGCTGTTCCATGCTTTGTGTGTTTGAGGTTCTGGAGTACATGTAAGGAAAATTACTATGACATGCACTTTTCTAATCATTGTATATTTTCCAGAGTGTATACAATCTGGCAAAATCCTTACTTTTAAGGAAACACACAACTTAAAATAAAGGTCTCCTTTTGCTTAATACAAATACACAATTTTTTGTGGCCATAAGATTTGGTTTGTATTGACTTTATTCAATGCCGCAAGCATTTATTAAGTACCTGCTGTATGAAATGAGGAGTACAAAGATGGGAAAAGATTATGAAGGAAAAAAATGGAGCAGTAAGTACATCTGTGAGAGATGAAATATATGTATTTGAAAGATTATATGAGAATTATGTAAGTATGTAAACTGTATGGTAAGAAATCAGGCAGTTAAATCCAGTGGTGGCATGATCAAAGATTTTATAGACTGGTTTCCTTTAAGGATATCGTGTCAAATAAATATATATATATGGCTTATCGTTCATTCACAGGAGATTATTTTTCTTACCAGTTTTTTTTTTGTAGCATATAATATGTGTACAGTTAACCAAGCATTTTAGAGTTTTAGTGATTAGAAATTTTAAGATGTGGACTGTTTATGGTTACCTTGGGAACAAAATCTTGGAATTTCAACGTGAACAATTTAAAGATTTACTTTGTTAGAGAAATTGGGGTTGGATTGTATTTTCTGCGGGTGGCACACCTTACCACTGTAACCTGCACAGTGTTTTTAGACAGGGTGTAGATACGCTTTTATTTAAATATTTAAGCGTTCTTTTACTGTGGATTCACACAATAAATAGCACGTTAAACTGGTGATTTCCCCACTGCTTAGGAGAAGCCTCAAGTAGATATTTCAGTTTTTAAAAAACTAGTTGATTTGAAGAAAATATTAAGCGAATAATAGTACAGGTGGATGTAGACTATCAGAAGTTGTCGAGGTTGCGCCGCGTTTGAGCAGCTCTGAACCGTCACATGGGCTAAGTTTCGGCTCTCTGATGTGGATGGTCAGTTGTCACTTGAGGCCTGGATCACTGCTGTGGTCAGACATTGAAAAATGCAAAGCAGATCTGCCGACTTTCTCTAAAGGTTAATTTTTTAAATGCCTCCTGAGGTTCTAGGGCTCTGTGTCTTTATGGAATAGAGAACTAGATTTGGGGCAGAGCCGCCTCCTGTTTCCTGTGGAACGTTGGATTTTCGTGCTCATCAGTGTTACGGTCCCAAGCTTATTTGTTACACCTAAATCAACTCTCAAATTCTGTTTCAAACACATTGACGCTTAAAATAGGATAAAATGTGTGTGGTGTGTTTTTGTGTATATGCCTTAGCCTTTTTTTATTTTTCAAAACACAAAAACATAGCAAAACCTGTTGGTTAAATATTAAGAAAACAGATATTTCCTCACATATTGTTTTTAACAAGTGCTGGCACTTTCTCGAACGTTTCTCTACTGGCAGGGCTGCGGAAAGGAGAACTGGTAGCCTTCGTAGCCAGTTTGATGCGTCAGCTGTGCGCCCTTGTGCTGTTCTTCTGTTCCCCACCTTCCTCTGGTTCTCCTTTCCCCCTTCGTTTAAAAGTGGTGAAATAGCTTCCTTGCCATTGGGAGTTGGGCTTTTCTCCTTGCCCTTTCAGTTCTGTGCTTACTGTTTTTGTCGTGTATTGTCATTGCTGTCTGTCTCCTGCGCCCAGTGGCTTTTGCTGTTCCCTGTCGTCCCTTCACAGTCCTGCTTCCACACTGACATGTGCTCCTGGCCGCCTCGCGGCCTGCCTTCCCTGCGCTTCCGTAGATCCTTAGTGAGCTGAGGTTTCCTGGTCTGTCGAGGACCCACAGCTGCGCCAGCCCTTGTCCTTCACAGTGAGAGCTGCGTGTCCTCTGCATTTTCTAGAAAGCAACTGCTAAGTCTTTGGTAACCGTCTAAGCTCTGATGTAAAGTAGTTTCTGGCGTTCTTCAGTAGTGATCTTTTAAGATAAATCAAACACTAACAGGCCAGAGCAACAAAACCCCAATTATTTGAGTTACCAGCTTAGATGTGTGCATCAAGACCTGGGTAGCTTAGCAGTAAATTACTGGTGGAAATACAGATACATTACATGTATTTGTGTGTGTACATATGTGCTTGTTTATCCTTTAAAGTTCTGTGTTTGGTGCTCTATGTTCTTCTGGTTATCGAGGTATGTTAATAATACATGATCATTGTAGAAAACTTAGAATTTAGGCAGAAAAGTATCAAAAGACAAACTAGCCATATTACTACCACCCACAGGTGACTGCTGCTAACATTTTTCCAACCTTTTCTATGCATTTTTATCTTTAAATATCATACTTTACGTAAAGCTTTATGTTTTGCTTTTGAAAGCTAACATTAAATTGTTCCATGTTATTATAGATACTTTATAAATACAGTTTTTATGTTTCTATATCTTTTATTATGGGTTTATGATACTTTCATGACCATCTTCGTAACATTGGACATTTAAGTTTTCAGTGTAGGGATATTATAAACAATATTCTGGAATAAAATTGGACAGAAGTCTTCATCCACATGTGCAAATATTTCCTTAGATTTTCAAAAGGGAACCATTGGGTGAAAGACTATGAAAGTGGAAGATTATTGATGCATTTAATTAGCTCGCTTTGCAGAACTTCGTCAGTTGACACTTTGCCAAGTAAATCAGTGCTCAACTTGCATTTTTGTCATCCTACTAATTTTTATAATTTGGTAAGGTAAATTTTTTTAATTGCTAGTGAACCTGAGCAGTTTTTTATCTGTAAGCTAATCATTCTGTTTTCTTTTTGATGTGTTTGTACTCGTTGCATAGTAATGATCTTAACCTTTGTCATGTTTGTTGCTGACTTTTTCCAGTTTATTTTTTGTTGGTCTAATGTTTATGGCTTTAATCTGTTGATCTTTTTCATTACCGTTCCTGCCACTGTTTTAAAATATTTCCCATCCTGAAATTAGAAATATTTACCATGGCTTTTTCTAGATTTTTTGTTTTAATGCTTCTGCATTTTTAATCCATACAAAATTCGGTGTGTGTGCACCGTCGGGCAAGGGTCACAGTGGAGTCTTTTCGGGGGAGCTAACCAGTAGCTTCAGGACCAGTTGTCAGATAATTCTCTTCCCCACCCCCTCTCCACGGTGGGTTGTGAGGCCTGCTTTATTGCATATTAAGTTCTTATACCAGGGTCTGTTTCTGGACTGTCGGTTTGATTTCATTGATCTGTCGTCTGTTCTTATGCCAGCACCACGCTGATTTAATTAGTGCCATTTTACTTATTAATTCTTATTTACTGCCCAAACCACATTAACAGAAATCGAAATGAAAGAAAAAAATTCATTTATGATCTCACCACCACCACGAAAGCACAGCTCTTGTCCTCTGGCTGTGTTATGTTTTGGTCCATTTTATGCTTACATAATTTTTCCTCGTTGTAATAGCTGCGTTGGTGAAGTTTGTGTGTGTGTTTTAAAGTTCCGCAGGTTAGTCTATGTGCCCCTCATTCATTAAGCTCTGCTGGTACAAAGAATACAAGACACACTGAAGAATTAATACTGGAAAAGGGTCTTTAGAGAAAGACGGTGCTGCTGACCCGATGGCTTCAGCCGCTCTGTCACGTGAGTGCTGTGTTACAAATAAAATGCTTACTCTCCCCTGTACTAAGGATGTTATTCATACACTGGCGAGTTTTCTTTTATTATAGTGGTAGCACTTTGCAACTTAAGAGTTATATTCCTGATTTTTGTAGTTTTGGCTCATCATGAAATTACCTATAAAATTTCTCCATTGAGCAAATTACAGTTTTATTTATGAACCATTGCAAAAGATCTTCAAAAAACTCTTTTCCTGTTTTTGATTTAGTTAAATCCAACATGTGTTAGCAGTCTGAGTTACCAGTGGAGATGATCTTTAAGATAATCTTTGTGCCTGGAGTTCAGAGGCAGGAAGGAGTTTTGAAGGCATGAATCCAGGGTTTGGGGGTCGGGGGGAGGAGGCGGGACAGTAGCCTGAAATCTGTTTCCATTTTCCTGTAGGTTGTCCTGCTTCTGATACCTCTTAGAAGCAAAAAGTCATCACAGTTATGTAAATGATCACCTTATCTAACACCTGGGCTACAGCTGATTTAATAACTAAGAAATTGCTGTATTTAAAATTCTTTCTGATCTTGACACAAAAATCGTACAGAGGTTCATGGTGGGCCTTCTTGGTATAACTTCCAAATGTGAGAGATACCCCTACACACGTTCTCAAACTTTCTTCACGAGGGTGGAATGTGTACTTAAAAGTCGGAGTAAAGCAACTGATTAACTTACACCGGGAAGTTCCAGGGCAGTCTGTCACCGGGCAAGTTACAGTTAGAAGCACATGTTGATTCTATCAGGTTGCCTGGCCAGGAGAGAAACAGTTTATTTCTTGAACTTTTCTAGAGAGAAAAATGTGCCTTTAAGATCCTTAAGAAGGCTTTTATGTTCTGGGCAGTTTACTCCCCCACCCCGCGAAAAAAAAGAACTTTGTTTTTTGTCTTCATTTTATTACCTCTTACAGAACATTTTGGTGCTAAGTCAATCTGACTAGGGAAATGTGCCCATCCTGATCTGTTTGTAGTTGCAAAGGTGTGTGATCTGGTCCTTGTGTAACACCCCACTGCCTCCTGTCACCCCCCTGAAGTTTTTTTTTTTCCAGTTTTATTGAGAAATAATTGACAAACATCACTGTATAAGTTTAATAAGGTGTATAGCACCCTTCAAATTTGTAGCCCAGAAATCCTTCACAGATGTTTAAAAACGTAAGACAAACTTGTAATTTACCCTTAATTCATAATTTTAAGAAGGATCATTAAGACATTTCTTAAGATACACAGGCAGTCACAATGGGTCCGACCCCCCTCCCCGCCTTTTTTTAAAGTTCCTAACTAGGCTTTTGAAAGAGAAGTCTGTATTCCAGGTGCTGCAGGCCACAAATAAGTCTTTGATATGTCATGCAAAGTGTTGAGAAAGCAAAGGTGGCTGAAATTACATCAAAATGGTTTCCAAGGCCCTGCCTGTTCTTGCAGAGGTCAGAGAAACCACAGCCAGCCGGCACAAGCACAATTTCAGGTCAAGAATCTGGAACCCCTGCTGTTCCCAATGAACTGTATGATGCACGTAGATGATGTTCCGAAGGGAGGGTCGAGCTAAGTGCACAGTCACGCTAATACCTGGTTGGTCTTTTAGCAGCAAAATTGGGTGGGGGAAGAGCAGAGTATGAAACTTTATAAATCGGTGGGGGTTTTTTTGGTGGTATTGTTGATATCCCTATTTGAATGTAAAGTCCCTAACAAAAGAAGCAAGCCGCCTTTAGACTGCATTTACTGCTCCTGATGACTCCAGTTGTGTGTAAATATTAGAAAACAGCAGGGTCCTGCATTCCAAGAATCACTTGAGCAGTGCCACGAAGACAAGTGTCCTGACTGGTATTGTAGTCATACTCCC